TATATGTAAAAATAAAGAACAAATAAATCCACCATCATACCAAAGCATAATTTTATGTCACAATCACATATAAATTAAGCACACACATATTAAGAATTTACAACATGAATGGTCACATTTCACTAAGTTTGCTTTTTAGCTCACCTGGCCCGAAGGGCCAAGTAAGATTTTCTCATCACTTGGCGTCCGTCGTCCGTCGTCGTCGTCGTTAACTTTTTACATTTTGAACTTCTTCTAGAGAACCACTGAATGGAATGAAACCAAACATGGCATGCATGTTCCTTATGAGATGCTGACCAGGTGTTGTTACTTTGAAGCCGATTCATCATCCAAGATGGCAGCCAGCGGGGGACTTAGTTTAACATAAGACCCTATGGGAAATACATACAAATGTCTTCTTTTAGAGAACCACTGAATGGAATGAAACCAAACATGGCATGGATGTTCCTTATGAGGTGCTGACCAAGTGTTGTTACTTTGAAGCCGATCCATTATCCAAGATGTTGCTACTTTGTTGCTGATTTACTGTTGGCCACCAGGATTTTTTATTAAATTACAGGGCCAATATTAAACCAAATTTGTCCTCACTCATTATTAGGGTATCTGATATGATCTCACTCATTATTAGGGTATCTGATATGATTTTAATCTATTTTAACATGATTTCCAAAACCAAAGTAGAATCAGGTGAGCGACACAGGCTCTTGAGAGCCTCTAGTTTTAATAACAGTTCATTTTGGTTATTTTAAAAACATCTATAAATGCAAAATATTTCATTTCTTTGTTTTAATTTTTTTTTACTAATGTTGTTCGCTCCTTTGCTTTTGAATTTTTGCCAGATATTTGGAATCCTCTGGTTTTATCCATGTAGTGCCATTAAAATTTTGCCCACTAACTCCTACTTTTTTTCCATAATTTGATTACATATAGTTGAAAATGTCATCTTTGAAAATCTTATAAATTCCTTGTTATTTTTTCATCGTTTTTGAAAGAAAAAAGGTACTAATGTTTAATAATTGAAAAATCTAGAGAGAATTATTTCCCACCAAATTTTAAATGGCTTATATCTCGAAAACAAGCGCATGGACACTTCTTTTTTTTTCTGTTTATTTATTTATGTACTATCAATTTATAACAGTCTTTTAAAAAGCTTGTTATTTTGAAACAGAGTAGCGAACATCCTTAAGTGTACGTACCCTTTTCCTTCGGCTTGGGTCGACATGTTTGATCTCCACACCAAAATTTAATGTCACAGCGGACAAGTGTTTAAATCATACCTGATGAATCGGTTTTAAGTCGTTCAAATAGAACCATGCCTTCGAAGAAACAGAGAGATAAGCAGAAAGTTGTAAAATACAACTCGTTAATCAGATCGTTTTCAACAAGGACTCAACTCAGTACCTGGGATTTTTTTCACTTATTAAAATTAATACATTTTTGACCATTGACAATTTTTTATAGACTAATTACAAAATCTGATCGTTATTTTTGGAAAGTAATAGAGAGTACAACGTGACCATTGTGATCGTGACCTTTGGCAGATCAACAAATAGCTATGAGTGCTTCACATATATTTTTATGTAATTATGGCACAATTTTAATTTGCATCTTTCTTCGACGGTGAATTTCTATATATCTAATTTAGAAACAGAATATAAGATTAAATAAAACAAGAACGATTCATTAGTGGAATGTTTAGGGAGTTGTATGGACATGTTTTATTTAAAAGATCGATAGACTTTTTGAGTATATTAAAGATTCGAATCGTAAATGTTATCTATTTTTTAAGAAAAATGTATGATATTAAAATAACAAACTGGGCGGCTATTTCATTCACTTCTATTGTATATCATCCTCCGAAGAAGTATGGAGCACACCCGAATACACGAAAGATAGCTCAATTATAATTTTTCCTACTATTGAAATACCTTTTCACGATCTTTCTGCATACTTCTGACTTTAGGTTAAGGAGGTCTTGTGAGTAATGGTGCAAAGTGAAGAGGGTCTTGGTAGGGTTGCAGGTACCCTTTATTTTTATATAATTTTTTTCTTTTCTGTAAAATTAAGCAACCATTATTCTCTCTTCTTCATTTTTGCCCATTTTCCCTATTCATTATGTTAAATTTTGAAACATTTTCTCCATTCTGTATCATATATACAGAAAATAAGCTTATTATAAGGATAGGAACATTAGGCTACTTAACCACTCAGTAAGCAAGATTCCAACACAGTTACTAACAATGTAAATCATGTTTTGCACATTTTATAATGTAATAAAAAATCAATAACACCTTGTGCAATCTTTATTGTCATCATATACAGTAATACATAATGTGAACAAGCAATAAAAAAGCCATAATGAGTACGCGCAAAAACGTAGACACAAAAATTGAGAAGTGCCCTTTCCAAGCCTCAAAAAGTGCCCTGATTTATGCTGTCACCATGCCCCTTTCAATTTCTAAAAAAGTAAAAATCCGGAAAGTTTGAAAGCATAAGCCGAAGACTACTGGTTGTTTTTATAATATGTATTGATTTAGAAATGGTTTTATTGGCAACTAATTACTTAGTTCATGAACACAAGGATAAAAGTTCCGCTGAAAGTTGACCAGATGTCACCTCTTTAAATAATACTATTCTGTGTAGAAATATCATGGTTCCAAAAATAAACGAAATTTCATAGTTCTACTACCTATTCATTGCTATTCACACTGATGTTGACTTTTGCTACCCCTGTTCACCTCACACAGATGCAAACTTTTTACTCTTGATCATCTTTCACAGGTGTTAAATTTAATTTCTCCATTTAGGCAACTTAGGCAGATGTTGACTTTGGTTATTTCTGGTAACCTTACATAGCTGTTGACTTTGGTCCCCCTTGCTCCCCTTACACGGATGTTGACTTTGGCTCCCTTGCTCCCCTTACACGGATGTTGACTTTAGTTACCCCTTATAACACTACTCATATGTTAACTTTAGTTACCCTTGGTCACCTTACACTCATGTTGACCCTGGTTACCACCTGGCATACCTACATATATATTGGATGTTTATGTAAGGTGACAAGGGGAGACCAAAGTCAACATATATATGAGGTGACTAAGGGTAGCCAAAGTTAACAACTGTCTAAGGTGACCAGGGGTAACCAAAGTTAAAATCTGTGTTAGATGGCAATATGTGTGTAAGGTGGCCAGTTGTAACTAAAGTTAATATCATATATGTAAGGAGCCCAAAGCTCAAAGTTAATAAACGTGTAAGGCTGCAAGTGATAACTAAAGTAAACATCTGTGTAAGGTAACCAGAGGGAAACAAAGTCAACATCTGTTTAAGCAACCAGGGATAACCAATGTCAACATCTGAGTAAGATGACCAAGGGTGACCAAAGTCAATATCTGTGTAAGGTGACCAGGGGATATCCAACATATGTGTAAGGTGACCAGAGGTAGCCTAAGTAAATAGCTATGCCCAAGGGTAACCGAAGTCAATATCTGTGTTAGAGGATCAGTGGTAGCTAAGCTTATCATCTGCTCAAGGTTACCTGGGATAACCAAGTAACGTTCATGTATCAGTGCAAGATGACCAATATGTGTGTAAAGTGAACAGAGTTTAAACAAGAGTTAATATACGTGTTCGGTAAACAAGGGGTAATCAAACAGGAAGTAAAATTATGTACTTTCATGTATTTATAAAACCACAATATTACTAGTATTTACTACACAGAATGGTACTAGTTATTGAGGCGAATTCTGGTCTACTTTGAGTGGAACTTTTATCCTTGGGCTATATTTAAGCCCAATTTGATTTTAATTATATTTTTTATTAATTTTTCATTTCTTGATCATGTTGATGTGATAAATTTTGTATTGTTTTAATTACACACCTGGACTTTTAAGTACTCTCAACTATATCTCACATTGGCCAGCTGAACGAATAATTTGAAAAAAAAAATATTGATGAAGACTAAAATAGATTTAAGATTTGCACATTGAATAATATAATAAAAATCATGATATTCATCTAAAATGCAAATAGTTTAAACCAAATATATATTACTGTAACGTGAATGTAAGTGTTGCGCTCCACCTATTGCAGTTCATTTGAAATTCTGACCCAATTGCAATATTATTATAAAGAGTCATTACAAATGGTAAAAGTCCAAACTAAGCTTTCATACTATTTTTCTATTTAAAAGTCTTCTATATTCATAAGAATCGGACAACAGTTTGAATTAAAACATGTTATATTCAGTTAAAATATATATGAAATTACAATATGATATTAATACGTTTCAACGTGTTACATGAGAGATAATCTAAAAAAAGGCATTGATCTTTTGAAATACTGATCTTATCTCCCTTTAAACTTCAAGAGAGCATATGTAAGCTTAAAGGGGCATTAGCTACGAATTCCAAAAAAAATATGATTTTTTGTTTTTGTTTCAAACATAAATTCATTTAAAGAAAGCTATGTAGCATGCATAGAAAACACTATTTTAGAAGCTATATTTCAAAATCTTCAATTTGGACATTTTATTTGCAATTCAAAATTTAAATCCTCTCACTCTTTACAATAACAATATGTATAGAAAAGTTAGCTTCATTTTCAAAATAGCAATTACAATGTAAGTGGAATTCAAGTCTATATGATTGAAAGTATACTTTATTTCACCACCTTTCACTTACATTGCTTGCCTGTGGTTTTCTACAGCAGTTGCTTAAAATTTCTGATTAGTTTACCAGTTTGGTTTGATAAAACAGATTGCAATTGGATCAGACTGAATTTTGAATGAACTGAAATAGGTGGAGAGCAACACTTACAAGCAAGTCACAGTAAATGATATTACTAACTTCAGTCCAGAAAACAACGTCTTTTTCAAGCCAATTTGATTACAATTCTTTAGAAAAACTATATATATGATATATCATGGTAAAAAATGTAATAATATTTCGTAGTAAATATATAACATGTACATTCTCAGTTTGATACAACATATTTGATTACAGGTTTGTAAAGAACTGGAAGGCGACTTTTGTAAATTAAAATATTATCATACTCTAGTCGGTGGGAAGGGAATTGAAAATATGGACAGCTTCTACGACATCAACAAAACAATTACAGCTATGGACATATTTCAGACCAGCAATTACTCGGTATTATATTTTGGAACAATAGATGGCGAACTTGGCAGGGTATGTACTGAAGTATTTTTTATCTAAAAAGGCGGAATAAGGTATATAACTAGCTACTAAGCTTCCTTCATCGCTTTTACTTAAGTTTTCATGTCCATTCAAAGTCAAAGGAAGAAAGTAACTATGATAAAGTCGCAGCTTATTGGGAAATCAAATTATCTATAAATAGATCTGTACCAATCGATTCTGAACTATACTTGTCATAGTTATAAGAAGATGTGGTAAGAGTGCCAATGAGACAACTCTCCATCCAAGTCAAAATTTATAAAAGTAAATCATTATAGGTCAAAGTACGGTCTTCAACACGGAGCCTTGGCTCACACCGAACAACAAGCTATAAAGGGCCCCAAAAATTACTAGTGTAAACCCATTCAAACGGGAAAACCAACGGTCTAATCTATATAAAAAACGAGAAACACTTATGAACCATATCAACAAACGACAACTACTGAACATCAGATTCCTGACTTAGGACAGGTGCAAATAATTGCAGCGGGTTTAAACGTTTTAATGGTACCAAACCTTCACCCTTATCTGAAACAATAGTGTAACATCACAACATAGAAATACACACTATATACATGTTTAAATAACATACTTCAAATGTTCACAAGATATAGTCTTAAACATGTCAGTTATAATGTAACGAATTTTACAAATATGCCTTTGGCCTTGAAAGGATCATATACAAGTTTTCCACCAACGTATTGGATTCTAAAGATACATTCTTTAAACTCGCGTTTTATATCTGCATCAAGAAAAAATTCAACTAATGTTTATGTTGTTCTAACTAGTGTTTTTACAATCGCTAAGGACATGCGATTAAAAACTGTGACAAATCTTTTAATGATAGCGGTATTGACTATTTTTGGAGAGTTTAAAATTATTTACAGGTTTTAGCTTATCTGCGTTGCTTTGGTGCTCAGTTTGAGGTCTGCTGACAGTTATCATATCTGTACTCTGTACTCAACACTATCACATATTCCTATTTCCACCTATTTATCAAAATAAGCTTTCGATAAATCTGGGAGTAAATATATCAATTGTTCTCGTCATAATTTCATTTGAGTTATAAAACTAATAAAGAGCATTAAATAGACATTATCAGAAATTATTAATACCAACTTTTCATTGATTATATTTAACTTCGTTTTAAGATCAAATTACCATCTGGTGGTAGGTTTCCCGATTGAAACTAGATGTGCCCTTATTAGAATCTGATTTTTTCTGATAATGTTACGAATCACAGTTTAATGGTAACCTTCATATAGACTAAACGACACGAAGCTTGATAGAATTTAACAAAATCTGCAGATATATATACGATATGATTATTCTCTAGATTTCAATATTTTATTCTAAATACATAAATGAACTTGTTCACCCAAATATCCGCTTGCTAAATCCAACGTAAAAAGTTATTGTTGTCCTTATAGGCGAGTGACTTTAACCATAAAATTAAATTTTTAATCCACCCACCTAACACACGGCTAAATTATATATCATTTGAAAGCTACACATCCGTACTATTTGTTTTGCCCGGTCGTAAAAAAATCGTACGGTGCAATTTCCGTCAAATCAAGATCAAAGGCCAAGGACGAATAAGTGCATATTTTCTAAGATTTCAGCTTGATTGCATAATATGACTTTTATATACTTAATTCACATATGCAAACCATTTAAACTTTTAGCAGAGAGATTAACGGTCATTAATCAAATGCATTTTAAAATATTTAAAACGTGTTTTTGATAGACAGCACATATTTCCTGAAATTCGAGTAAAAGTTAACAAAATGTGTGAAAACCCCAATTTTTCTTTCTGATGCAACTGCTAATCACTTAAAACTAAGTAAAACCTTGTAATAACTATCAAAGAAGTTTTTGACATCATAAATTTCCTAAAATTATGCTTACTTCTAATCAAACAGCAAATCATAAGAACTAATGCAGTTGCCCAAAATACCGCCATCTGCGAAAAAACAGCTTTTAAGCATTTCTTCCTATTTAAACAGTGTATGTGGTCAATATAAGATTTAATAAACAAATTCTTAAGAATCTGAAAAATTTAAAGTAAAAAAATATGTGTGCGAATCATACTTTTGCTTGAAATAAAGGGGCGAAACTAAGAGATTGCAATCTGCATTGTAACTACCAGACTGAAATAAACATATTTTGACTTTTCTAATTGTTTGATATGTAGCTTCATTATAAATATTGATGTAGTGAAAAGACCTTTTATTTATTTAATGTGAACCATAAAAAATAAATTGAAAATTTAGACAAAAATAAATAAAAAATAAATTGATGAAAATTGAAATTTAAAAGAATTTAAAAACCAGTAAACACATTATAAAACTTGACTTCTTGATTGCTTAAATTGCGTTGTTCATTGTTTAAATACATTAATTCATCAAATAAGAATAATTTTGAAGAAAAAAATCCATTAATACGCAATGATTCTAGTTGCAACTAGACTTTCTGAATAGCTTGAATGACTAGTTCATTTTTCATACGAGGATGACTTCATGCAAGAGCTTCTGGTGACAACTGAAAAGAAGCTACCATTATCTTGAAACTTCACTTTCCACTATATAGATGATGTCATCTCGCTGAATGCTGCCAAATTTGTCACAATGTTGGACTCGTATTTTCCATTGAAATTAAAAAACACTCAACAGATATAGTTTACTTTACCACTTATCTTGAAATCGACGATGAGGTTTGGTTGAGAACAAGTTTTACGACAAAAGAGATGAGCATAAATCAACCCATAACAACACTCCTTACTAACCAATTATAAACTTTTCATTTCTATGTAGCAACATTATAGCAACACCTGCATATCTATACTATTAAAGAAGGAGACCGATTTCATTGAGCCTCAACTCCCCTGAAACAATAACAAGTCGGAATATTTATGATATGACGTATAAATGTAGGGTTTTGCATTTCCTAAATTTGTCTTTGCATGCTCAGTCGACGTACTGCCCGCAAAATTAAATAAAACTCTTTATTTAAAAACTTGTCCAATTGTAACGCGATATCGCGGCATCTTCTTGTAGAGTATATATCTCCAAGTTGATACAATATTCCAGAGCTTGCATCTACTTTCACGATTGTCGTGATAGGGCGTAACTGCTCACAATGAAGATATTAAATAAAGGCAACTATAGTATACCGCTATTCAATAGTCATCAATCGATTTACTAGTAACTGAAACAAATCCGGGTCACAAACCAAAACCGTGGGAAACGCATCAACTATAAGAGGAACACAACGGAATAACAGAAACACTGAACTGTTACAAAAACAAACATTAACATACAAAGAAACAGATTATTCGATACCAGCTGCCATATGCCTGACTTGGTACAGGACATTCGAAAAAAAATGGTGGTTTGAACATGGTTTTAAACCAGAGTTCAAATGCAAAGTTGAAATCATCCCTTTGAAAATTTTATGGACGCCACTACGAGTTGGTTGACAATTATGAAATATCTGTTTTGCCAGATGACGACTGATAAATTTCAATCGACGTAACCAAAATACCGTCATTTCTGCCTTGGATGTCACCTACCGAATAAGGCTTGGCACCGAGGTTGGAATTACACGAACCACAAGACGGGTGTCACATTTGGAACATGATCTGCTCACCCTTTTGGAACCCTGAGTTCATCCCAAATATTTTTGGGGGGTTTGTGTTACTCAATCTGTAGTTTTATATGTTGTGTTTTTATACTGTTGCTTGTCTTGTTCGTTTTTTGCCCGGCTTTGTCAGTTCGTTTTCAATTATGAGTTTGATGTACCTTTGATATATTTCGTCACTCTTCAAGTAGTAAAAGTTTTAAAAATTGTGAATCACTGTAGTTAAATGTATCATGATAACGATTTGGTTCTATATATATATATCACCGTGAGCAAATTAAGTTATTTTCGCGGATATTTGTCTTTTTGCGTTAATCTTCTTCACTTTACTTTGAGGCAATTTTTTGCCGATTTTCATTACTGCAAGTTTATATCTTTAAAGTGAAATAATACCAAAGGGATAATCAACATCTCAAACCATGAATCAAATAAACTTAATTAAAACCATGAACAAAATAAAATTAAAGTCCAAGAGACGAACAACAGTCCACAAAACACAGCACAGCATGAAAACGATCACTGCCTAAAACAGCGAATGATTTTATGAGGTCAGGAAGGTATTCAACTTTTTAATTTTTTTATTTCACAACTGCTTATAGTGTTTTACATACACAATGACCTGCATTTGTATTTTAAAAGCTTATGTTGAAAATACTCAATCCTATCCCTATACCTTTGAAATTTGGTTTGTGAGAATAAAGATATATAGAAGCATCTTTTATTCAAATAATTAAAGAGATTAAACTTCTAAACACATTTAATATGTCTAACACGATTTTAAACTAAATAAGAAGCAGCAGCATTATATGTAGTTCGTTTACATCCCGCTTTAGACAACCAAGTGTTTCTAAACAAGGTAACTTATTTCAATGTTGCCTACGATTTAGTCGCAAAGTCATGTTTGCATTTAAACATGATTAAAAAAAGTAAATAAGTTTGACTTTGTAAAATACATATTTTTACCTCAATTAGCTCGTATATATTCTTTTCGAACTTTAAATACCCCTTCTTTAATTATGGAAAATTATTCTCCTCCCTGATATTGACAATTAGCGATGTGCTATCTTAACATAGAATAACAAAATGATCGCTATTTGCAGATGGCAGATTTTTGGGCAACTGCAAACACTTCAATAGAAGGCTGTTCTATGAACAATAATTAATAGTTGCATCTTAAAATTACAAAACAAATATTCCTTGACCTAAAACATATTATTTATCTATTTTTTTAGCATACAAATATCGATCCCCCAAGATATATTTTGCTTTTGGAACAATTTTTCATTTTTTTTAGGATTTGTGATGAATTTCAATTTTCGGGAAATATTGCGCATATATCCTCTTATTTTTTGTTTGATTTGGAAATAATGTATTATGTTATATAAAGTTCATATGATCTTTTGAAATATTTTATGGTACAAGAATTAGAAAATGGCTTTTTGTTTAGTAATCGCAAAAATTGGAATGTTTTTCATGACCTTTGACCTTGATTTAACAGAAAATGCACCGTACGATTTTTTTACGACCGGACAAAACAGAAAGTACAGATTATTAGCTTTCGAATGATATATAATATAGCCGTGTGTTAGGTGGGTGCATTAAAGTCGTTAAATAAGCGTCTTTTTGAATTAAGTCACTCGCCTATTATTATACCTTGATATTAAAATTCATTATGGTAATCTTATTACCAAATTTAAGAATTGAGAGACATTTCCTTACTCTATTGTTAAATCTTCATTCCATGAAGATGGTGTTCCGTTGGCTCGTACAATTTATCAACTTTCAATTAACGTTTGTTTTTCATATACAAAAATTGTCATAAATGAGTCAAAACTTTAGTGGTCTCTTAACTATACAATGTAAAAATGTATCACAAATATAGAGTTTGATTTAGGAAGTTCAACATATATAAATTCATTAAGGATTGAAAAGGTTAACCATTACACTTTTCTAGTTATAAACGGATTACTTTTTTTTAATTTTCTTGGGGGAGGGGATGAAATAATAAAAAGATGATATCAGTTTGAATATTTGCAACAAAACGGATAGGTCTGAACTAAATCAAATAATGAGGCTCGAGAAAAACGACGCACATTTCTTATTCGTTTAACAAATTATACCGTAATAAAAGTCCTGCTATTATCAAGCTTTGTAGTCGAGGGATTTTATCATAAACATCTTATAGCAGGCGTGTTTGTACACGGAACACATTTAAAATAGTTTCAAAAAAGAAGATGGCGTAAGATAAAAATATCTTGTTGCATCCATCTTTATGTTTTTTACAAGATTATATAGCCGGGTAAAACGGAAATCAAGAAGGAATATTTCGCTCCTTAAACTTTTATTTTAGCAGTCCGGCAAGACCGAACAACAAACTCCAAACCAAATGTGAAGTAACATACAAACAATAACAATATATATAAGCACAAGCAATTAAAGGATTAAGAAGATTAACATTTGCCAAATGGAAATAACAATAGATTAAAAGAGTAATTAGTGTCCGACACGTATTTGTAAGTTATTGTCCAAACTGTCACAGAGAATAAATAATTAAATGAATAGAGTAAATGAATAAAAGTCCTTTGTCCAAGATTATGACACATAATCCGTGTTAAACACTTATGCCTAAATTTACGACAAAGTTCAGAATAATGAAATAAATGCAAAACAAGAATATACATTAAAACAATTGAATTCATAAAATGTTGTTTAAAAACTAATTTCATTGCACAGTCCAAATTGTCCGGTCATATATTTCTGCGGCCCTTGAAGACACCACCCGGGTCTTACTGTTCATCTGAAATTGTTCCGAAAGTTTCTTCTGTGGTTGTGGCGTCCTCTGTAACGATAGTTTTGGTTTGAATAGTTATCTTCTCTTGTATTTTTCCGAAAATTGTCCAATTCGTCTTCTAGTTTGGTGATTCGATCCCGCATATGTTCTTTATCGCGTTGTAGATTGAATTGCTTATCGATTGCTTCACATCTTTGATCGTACAGCCCAAAATTAGATTCTTCAAGGTTATTAATGCGTTCACGTAATTTTTCCATTTCTTTTTGGTCATCTGCGTTTTGTTTTTGAAGTTTTTCTAGATTGCTTACAACACTGGTATGCTTTTGATTTAACTCTTTAAATTTCTTTTCATAGTGTACATTTTTAATTTTAAATTTAACTCTCTCGGAATTCACTCGGTCGTGCCTGAGTCTTACGTTATTTATGAATTCCTTGTTATATTCTAAGTTTGGAAAGAAGTCCAACAGTTCTATGGTATTAAGTTCCGCACAAGGAAACATTGACATAGCTTTCTGTTATTTGAATTTTCTCATTCTTTCTGCGTCACGACGTAACTTGGATTTCGATTTAACCTTAACAACTTTCACGTCCGGTTGTCTGTGAAAATTACACATTCTGGCGTAATGTCCAAAACTACTGCACTTATAGCAAAATGACGTTTTTGCTATACATTGTCTTAAACAGAGGAGGGGCGACAGCCTTAGGTGCTGTGTGCAAATTTTTGTAGGTCACGTGGTACGATTTTAGCGTCCCTCGACAATTTTGAATTTGGAAAAGATCGATTTGTTCATGTTTTTAAATCAAATATACTCTTTTGCACTCGCAGAAAATATAGAAAGTTTTGAAATAAAAAGAATAATCAATGATAGAAGATCACTTTATATGAAATATTTTCTTTATGTTTTTATCTTTATAGTAAATTCTATCAATAAAGAAATGTACTGTAATGGCGGGAAATTTTATTCGATCTCTGCGAAATCACGAGGCACAGATTTTTGTAAATTTTACAAATGTCAGCACGTGAAAATCATTCAAATTTATGGCAATCAAAGAACACTATTTGAACATTCTAAATCTTCTTAAGTCTCCTTAAGTCTCCAGCCGTTGCTTCGTAATAAGTCGCTAAAATATGATTTCCGGTAAGTCAAATCCGCGAGTAATTATATTATTTTAGGCATATAAACTCTTATGTATTTTAATCATTTTGAAAACAAAATGAAAATTTTGTCCTATGAATAACCATCATGAAAAAATATATTTTTTTCCATAATTGAATCGAGCATTATTTGTGTATTGTATTGCTTAATTGCCTTCTCTCTAGTCTTATCTCTGTTTTGTTTACTGACAAATGACGAAATAATGCAATATTTAAAATTTAGTATTTTACAAAACTTTGTCCCGATTAAAAAATAAAAACCGACTGGATAAATGGAGAATTCAGTGATTATCGATGTCGAAATAAGCCTTTGGTAATAAACAATCAGTTTGGGTATAAATATGTTTCGGTGATGTCCACACCACGAGTAGTTTGATGTAAATGACACAATACCACCGCGACCTATCGAAAATATAAGACAAATCTGCGTGCCGTGTGCAGAGTGTCGCCCTCCTCTAGTCTAAAATGAAATTGATTGTTCACAGTCTTTCCACAAAACTTACATACTAGGTAGTTGTCCATATGTTGAAAATTTCTTGTCAAGGTAGTTCCATGATCAGACATCTGGTATCTCCAGTCTCGGCCAAAATTTCTGGTTCTCCGCGTATCCATTTTTCTGTTTGCTGGGGGATCAGCTTCACAGGTAGAACAAGGTATCCGATAGATGCGTTGCCCGGATGTCCTAACACCATATATGGCCGGGTAAAATAAGTCAAATAAGAAATACGGGGGAAATAAGTAATATTCAAATTAAAAAATGGAGAATTCTGTTCGTGTGCAGTTTGGGACCAATAATACTCATCAAATTAGAATTAATGTAAATTTGTATTATGTCATGATTTGTTAAATATTCGTAGTTTTAATTATTCCGTTCAAGTAGAGTTAGAATATTCTAGTTTGTTCCCCAAATGTTTGTGATATCACCAAACTTTAGAACGTAAAATCCTAGAATGAACCTGATATGAATGACCCAACAATTTACGACGTCTAAGCTATTTTGCAACTGATAATTAGCCTGACCATTGTCTTTATTGGGCCCTTGAAATATTGTGGTAAACTTTGCAAGGAGTAACTATGGTCTTGGAACTATCAAATTGTGTGCTGAAATCATGAATAGTGAGCCTAAATTTGTTACCACATAGTGAAAGATCAGTGACTTTTGATGGGAAACTATAGTAGTTTACTGGCAGTAGAAGTAACACGAAGTATACATAAAAGTTAGATAATTTGCTTTAAATAGTAGATTGATAAAAATTAAACAGTAAGTTCTACTGCAGTTTTGACAGTATGTGCTATGATATCACGTTATACAATATTGAATTAATACATAAGTATAACCAGTTTTCCTTATAGGATTTGTTAAGTTTAAAATATTTAACCTGTTTGTAGGTTTATTTACAACTTGGTGGAGAACATGAAAACTTTACAACAGAGCTTGTGTCTGTAGCCAATTCGACGATTATTAATATTAAGGTTGAAAAGGACAGTGTATATTTTATAACTGAAAAGAAGGTACGATATTATTCTAGTTCTATTAATATTTCATGCAAAACTGCGTAAATGTTTATTTCATAAATCAAGAATATTGTTGTGCATTTTATTTTCTTAAAATTTTTTATAGGCATTGTGCAATACCTTGTCTTGTTCTAATGTTTATGACGATGCTTAATTAAATCTTCTATTAGAGTATATGACGACATTATTTCATATCAGTAGGTACATTTGTAGTTCTTGCAATGATTTTTCTTATGTTCCATTTTGTTCACTCTTTGTTAATCGTGATTAAAAGGATGCCCCTTTTTTTAAATTTAGAAATCTAAAAACTAGTTGAGAACCATATGTTAAAGTGCAAGTCAGGAACCTCGTCACTGGTATCCTTGATGATGTTGATTAAATATGAGCATTGGTGTCAATGGCAGATCTTTAAAAGTCTCTTTTAAATTTATTCACACGTTGTTTTTTAAATTAGGGCGATTCAGTTTGATATATTCATAGATACATGTACTTATCTACTGTTATGGACCTGTAGATGGCGTTTCATGTCGTTTGATTGTTTTATCTTTGACGTATACCCAACACTTCTTTTATTGATAATTTGAAACAAGTGAGAAATACACAGTTATCTAAATCACAATACATTCAATTTGAAACATATAAGAATATAAGAATAAAATGTGGTATGACTGCCTATGAGACAACACTATCCACCAGAGACTAAATGATGTAAAGCAACTTGAGGTCACTGTACGACACATAATACAACAAAAACATAGGAAAATTAGTTTGAGTAAAATGTATATGTACATTGATTTGAAGAGCTTTTGAAAGACACAGATATACATGTATGTACAATGTCGAACTAAATGTCATATGTATGGATATGATTGCGACCACAATAATAACAATTAAAAAATCAAAATATTGAATGTGATTTATGTTTTTGATGTTTTGCTGTTTAACTTTGATGGTTTAAAATATTCATCAATTAGGCTCTTTTCTGAATGGAAACTGCGTTGGAATATGCTCTTCATGGACACGTGGTATTCCTTTTGCAGTTCCGATTACAGTTTTAGCTCCAATGTTTGTTCTGTTTACTCTATAATTTACGATATTTTACTTGTTTTTTATACTTCCTTCAGATAAACAGGTAGTGTTCTGTACTCGACTGGACTGGCTTTAACTCGATCTGGTAAAGTCTGAATTGTCCTTGATTTTATTAACCGGGTTTTTAACTGTATCTGTACCAATCGATTCTGAACTATACTCGAAGAAGGTGTGGTATGAGTGCCAATGAGACAACTCTCCATCCAAGTCAAAATTCATAAAAGTAAACCAATATAGGTCAAAGTACAGTCTTCAACACGGAGCTTTGGCTCACACCGAACAGCAAGCTATAAAGGGCCCCAAAAATTACAAGTGTAAAACCATTCAAACGGGAAAAGCAACGGTCTAATCTGTATAAAAAACGAGAAACGAGAAACACTTATGAACCACATCAACAAACGACAACTACTGAACATCAGATTCCCGACTTAGGACAGGTGCAAACAATTGCAGCGGGTTTTAACGTTTTAATGGTACCAAACCTTCACCCTTATCTGAAACAATAGTGTAACATCACAACATAGAAAGACACACTATAAAATATCAATTGAAATGTCTTAACTCAATCAAAAGACATAGTAACACCAGTGAACATACACTGAACAAATAAATTTGATCTATGATACAATGCAAGTACAAAATAAAAAAAATAAGGGAAGATTAATTAAAGTAACATGTTATTCGCTGTGAAATGTTAAACAATTGAAGAAAAACAATATGCTTGAACAAAAATATCAGCCATTTGCAATTACTTTAAACATGTCTTCTTTGACTGTCCATGGCGTTAAAACACTAAATTCCTGGGATGTGTTTTGGTTGATTTTAGTCTCTGATGCATATTTTTTTATTATTAATTGTTTTTGGCTTTTAACTAGCTTTCAGTAACTGCGAGTACTCTCAAATCGTACTTTCGTGTTAATTTGACCTGTTGACACAATTTGTAATGCATTTTTGTTATTCAATGTTTACTTATTTTGTGTTATATTTCGTCTCACTATTTGTAATATGTACCACCTTTGATAAGTATTTAGTATGACGATAAATTTTCACTTTTGTTCTCGTACTATAAACAACAAATTTATTTATTTTGTAAAAAAATATTTCCGTACTGTGTACGTTATCTTATTTAACACCATTTTGTCCAAGGTTATAGTTGTCTTCTTGACATTGTTTTACATCCCCCCTTTTTTATCTAATATTGTATTTATATTGTGTCATAGATTTTTTCGTTCAGTGTATGTTTACTTGTTTTTGTTAATATGTCTTTTTGATTGAGTTAAGCCATATCAATTGATATTATATAGTGTGTCTTTCTATTTTGTAGGTTAGGGTGAAGGTTGGCGCCTGTTAAAACGTTTAAACCCGCTGCATTTGTTTGCACCTATCCTAAGTCAGGACCCTGTTGTTCAGTGGTTGTCGCTTGTTGATGTGGTTCTTACGTGTTTCTCGTTTCTCGTTTTTTATATAGATTAGACCGTTGGTTTTCCTGTTTGAATTGTTTTACACTAATCATTTTGGGGCCCTTTATAGCTTTCTGTTCGGTGTGAGCCAATGCTACGTGTCGAAGGCCGTATTTTGATCTATAATTGTTTATTTTTTACACATTGTGACTTGGATGGAGAGTTGTCTCATTGGCACTCATACCACATCATCTTATTTATATTGATAGGTTCTGAACCATACTCTAGCTCGTACCGATACTACAATAGATTTAAACTATTCTTGACCGGATTTAGACATTTATTAACAATTTATTTGATCACAATAAGTGCAATAGGTTTCAAGTACAAGTATGTACTATCACTGCAAGTCAGTCACATGATAACCCAACTAAATTAATTTCAGACTTTTGCAGACTGATTGAAATATAGTTATTACAAAACCTGGTCTATTCTGACAGTTGCTGTTTCAAAGTCATGCATATGTATTCATAAAAATGAATAATTTTGATAACTGTATTTCAGATAGGTCAAATTGATATCAACGATTGTTCAATACACAAGGACTGTGAATCTTGTATGAATTCCTTTAATTCATCTTGTGGATGGGAATATCATGAAAACATGTATATAAGTATTGTTTTAATTTTTAAGAAATTACACTGATAAACAGATGTAAGGACAGAAATACAGGATATTACATGTACATACATGAAAAAGACAATTTACTCGTACAGTTCTTAGGAAAATTTAAAACAATATATAGGCTGCACATCTCTGCTGGTTATATTCTTCTTTAAAGAGATATATACTAAAAAGTGGGTATTTTGTAATATTAGCGTTACGGTCTGATTAAAAGAACAAATTATCTATAATTTTCTAATATCCACAACAGTTTGAGAAAAGTAAACAATTTCTATAGTTGAAGTACCCAAAAAATTGCCTTTTATTGCACAACCCGAAAACAGACATGCAAAGAGACGAAACCGTCAAATGTCATCTTTGACTCAGGGAGTTACTGACACAATTACTTATTTTTATGTTCGAACCTAAATAATTAAAATTTTAATTATGCTTATGGCGAATATCAGATGGAAAAAAGGTATATGGTTTACAAGCGCACAACACTTTTTTTTTCTGCAATAACCTCCATTAGGTTCGCTAGATGCCAAATTCTTAACGGTCATCAAATTAATAGTGATAAATGATACTGATTGTCACGTTTGTTTGATGTGATATATGTTATAAGCAGCTGAAAGACCCAGGTCTTTATATCTGCAAATACAAAGCTTTTTCCGTGATTCGGCATTGCTCCAATAATCTTTTGGAGGTCCTCAAAAGCTCTCAAAACAGCACAAATACCTTTTCTTTAAAGAAGATCTAAACGTGAGTGTGCCCGTTTTTTTTATATAGTTATGGCACATGAATCAAGATTTTGAATGAACGAACAGAAAAAAAAATATATTAATTAACGCCCATTTGTATCGTTTAGAATAAGAATAAGAATAAGAATATTTATTGAATCCAATTAAAGGGCCCGTTTCCGAGCATATACATATATGTACAGTATTAATTATACATTAATTTTTAAGATATATTACCTTAAAAATAAATGATTAAATAACTATACTCCATACCAGATGGTGTTTGAAAATTAATACAATAAAATATTAACCCTCTCTAATACATAAAAATAAATAAACTACTGTAACATCACCACTACATGTATATTTAGTTAGTTACTGGAATGCAAATTTCCTCTTATTTCAAAACAAGTACTTATAAATCTTGACACTGACATATTAACATTTTCAGACTCACATGACATAAACCAAATAAATTGTTCATACTTTGAAATAAAAGGGAAGTTTTCACATTGATTGCATGCTTCATTAAGAATAAAATTCCGTTCCTTTTCATATGCAGTGCATTTCATTAAAAATGAAACTCGTCTTCAACCTGCATATTTTTACACTGCCCACAAAATCTTTTATCTTTATCGATTTTTTTATATCTACCTTTCTCAATAGCTAACTGATGAGCACTGATTCTAAATTGAGTTAAGCTTTTTCGATACTGAAATTTATTAACTTGACATAAATATGCTTCCCTTTTGAAAATGTTTTTAAATTTAAAATAAGTACGCAATTTTCCTTTTTAACATTTGCATTATCTTCTATAGTATTTTTCCAGTAAATCCTATATCTACTAATCAAAATATTTTTCACTTTTTCAATGTCAAAACTTTCCATATCAACATCAATACATCTTAAAATATATACAATATTAGAATACCAAGATGACTTATTACATTTGTGAGTGTCAATACGTGTGAATAGGGCTTGTTTTAACAAATGATCCTTTTCTAAACCATTAATTCTTTGTAAAAATTTAAGAATAGAACAAATGATTTCAATATGCAATGGAGTACGACCTAACTCTCCCATAACAGCTAAATTACATGACTTTTTATTTACCCCGAGAATGTATTTGTAGAACTTTAAACTTAAGTTCTCGCAATCAAACTTTCTAATTTTTTTCTCAATTTCAAAGGGGCTGTTTGTTTGACATTTTGAAAAATTAAAAGTACAAGTTCCCCAAATTTCTGAGCCATATGTTAAAATTGGCTTTATTGTATGGTCAAAGATATGTAAACAACTATCAATTTTTGGGATGTATTTCGCTACTAATTTTATTTTGTTTTTCAAGCAATTGTTTATTTATGTTTATGTTTATTGACTAGGATTTTGTCGGTGGTACTCTCAGGGCACTCCGGATTCCTCCACCAATAAAAAATGACCGCCATGAAATAACACAAAAGTGCTGAAAGTGGCGTTAAACAACAATCAATCAATCAATCATTATAGATTATGTGCACAATGTATCCGTTCTTCGCATAGAGAAGGTTAATTGCCTCAATTTGTTTTCGCTACTAATTTTATTTTGTTTTTCAAGCAATTGTTTATTTATCCTCAGAATGCTTCTTCTGTATAAGTGAGATAAAAAAAAATTGGCCCCCTGACATACATGTATTTTGAAATATTTTTCGGGATACAATTTAGTTCCTCTTTAACTTCCAAAATTCATATGAAATCCGCCAGTTGAGAGAAAGTATTTGGTATTTTTTGTATAGTATATAAATGGTAAAATAATTTTAGCTTAATTGTGATATTTCAAGTAGGCTGTAAAGTGATATTGCATTATGTGATCATAGTTTCATGTATGTTCATGTATAGGTATTCTTTTTCATGACACATGATAACATAAAATTGATAATACAGGTGTAATACCAACAACTCAAATTCATCGGTGTGGATTCCATCAGAGAAAGGAAACTGCATACATTTCAGCAATATACCTGACCATATAAAGATCAACACTACGGTATGTAAATAAAATTAATTTTATTTAGTCTAATTCATTCAAATGAACCAACGACATTCATTTCTTCTATACATTTAAACGTATGACTTTAAATTTATACTGAGGTATTTCAGCCAAAAAAGTACATCATTGAAGCGATAAATCTAGACATTGATTGAAATGTTCAGTTCAAGAAACGTCCAATTTTACAAACGACAATTGTTAGGCTTTCACTCTCTCTTGATAACCTTAGCCGTTCTGTTTTAGTTCTATCAATTAATGAAGTCGTGGTGAATTTGTTATAACGTTAATGTAATAACAATCCAACAAACACAAAAAAATTATGTCGTGCATTTCGGAAATGATCCCGCAATGGTGGTTCATTTGAACAGTTTTAGAACTTAAATTGTCATCTGCACTTAGAACACATTATCAATTTAAACATAACTTTACGAAATAATAAGAAAATATTAAAAATAATCAGAAATTATATAACTTCTCCATTTTGTTTTGATTTTCAAAACGAAAAAAAAAGAATAATGCAAAGAAAAAGTAATTCATGATTTTTACTTCTAATTTTTCAAATTTATACTCCTCCGAAACTAATTGCCAAATCTTTTTCAAACCTTTAAGAAATGATGAATTCGGAGATTTTTATAAAGAATTTTATTAAATTTAATCAGTTAACATACACAACTCACGTACGGAAAAGTTCATATTCAAAGAAATAATATTTTTTTTTTAATCTTTTTTCCATAATATACTTGGCTAATTTGAACAATTCATAGAAAGAATAATGGTTTAAAGTTAATAAATATTTGATTCTGAATAGCTATTGTGCCATATTGTTTTCTCCAATATATTACCTTTATATCAAATGTGTAACCCTCTTAGACTCAGACTGTTCCCCCAACACCGTTTGACTAATGTTCCTAATCAAAGACTAAAACGAACGAATTTTCTTCCGAAGAGGCACATTTCAAGCTTCCAAAATTCTTTATCTCATTTATTTATCCTATACTTTTGACATTTGGGTGTTGGTACCATTTTTCCATTTCAAACAAAAGAAGACGTGATAGACTAAGTGTAAGTTTTTTTTAAAGGTTATCGATTTATTAATATAAAGCTGATTATATTGTAGCTACAGCTTCCACGAAATGATATGTTCTACTTGGCTTTTCTGCTGTCAACTAGCTTGGAAACAAACCTAAAATATAGTTTCAATACCACTCATCTGTAATTATATTTCGAATTTTGGAAATAGACGTATCATTTTACTTGTTCCTGTGTCTTGTTATATACTGTCATCATCAGTTTACTTCAGTTTTATCAAGAAACTTTGATGTCTTGGAAAGTTCTATCTCCTCCACAGTTTGAAACAAGAACATCTTCAACAAAATATATCTGACATTATTTTTTACTTCATCTGTGTCCACAACACACCACTCTGCTCAGATACCTTTCTTTTAATCGGGGTCGATGCATTTTTTTTCAGTTTTTTTCTGGGCAAAAATTGGACACGTAACAAAAATAATGTATCCAATTACTGTATACTTACGCTTATTTTCTTGTTATCTTCACCAAGGGCAATTTGGAAGGACTGTACAATGAGGACATTTTATTTGAGACATTTTTTTTCTTTAAACTTTGTTCACGAGATTAATTGGTTAATTGTTGTTTGCTTAACGTTCAGTGGCAAATATGTCATGCATATTGATGACGAAAACAAATTTATAAATCCAATAGGTAAGTTCTGCAAAATCGGTCTAGCGGTATAAACGGTGGTACTTTCGCGATTGACTGCATCTTGAAAATTAGGATATGATGGAAATTGTGAGAAATTTTGTTTGCAACATATTATCTACGGACCCCTCATAGACTTGTTTCAACGATTCTGTAAAGTGCAGAAATATATTAGTCTTAGATACATGATTGATTATAACTTGTTATTAGATTTGAACTAGCTTTCATTAGATGTGAATACTCGAATATCTGTACTTCGTGTCTTTAGTTTTTTTGTTTTTTTTTTGTCTGTTGTTTTTGTGTTTGGTATCGTTCTGGTGAGATAAGCCCTTTTTCAACTGCATGATTCTTATAGTTTGTTCTTATATTGTGATGTTACACCACTATTCCAGGTTAGGGGGAGGGTTGGGCGCCACCAAACATTTTTAACCCCACCACATTCTGTATCTGACTGTCCCGAGTCAGAAGTCTGTAATTAAGTGTTTGTCATTTGTTGCTGTATATCATATTTGTTTTTCGTCTACTGTTGTACATAAATAAATAAATAAATAAATAAATTGCATTATTGTCGACAGTGGCTGCAATGCAGGTAATATATATGTGTTTGATGGTGTAGGAGGGAGTGGAAACCGTATCCTTTCCCAGTTTTCGAACCGTTCAGAGGTGTATGCAAAGAGGACAGCCTCTTAAAGTATATAACGATAGATAAAAGCTAGCAGGAATTAGGTGGAGTACAGTGCACTATTCAGTTTCTTCAAAAAAGGATATTAAGTTGCATACATTTTGTCTCAGCTTAACTTGAGGCGATCTGTTTGTTCGATAAAATAAGGGAAAGGTATCCTTGCGTATGACGTAATTTACTTGTGAAATAACAAAGCAAAACAACACATGGCAACTAGAAGCAGCCGATATATGCTGACCAAAATTAGCCTATTAGGGAATGTAAATTGATTAGAGAGCGATGATAATTGACATTAGGCATTCTCATCAGGTGCAAAATACAAATTATTTTGATGGTTAAAAAAAACATAAGTATACAAACTTGCACAAAATTACAGATTTCATTATTTTAATGGGTAGTCATTTATGGATTATCAGTGTCACAGATGACCACAGATATGCTTCATCAGTCGTAACCACAATCCCGTCTTCTTTTCTTCGATTGTGACATATTGACAATTGAGACTTATCCTTAAATTTGAACTAACCATAAGCAATCATAAGGTGCAACATGTGAAGCAGGATATGCTTAAACTTCCGGAGCACCTGAGATCACATCGGTTTTTGATGGGGTTTGTGCTGTTCATTCTTCAAATTTCTATGTACATATAGTGTTCTGTAGACTGTTATTTGTCTTGTTGTCTTTTTTGCATGATGTTGGTTTCTCTTCAACTTGTGAGTTTTATATCTCCCGCCTTTTTTTAGCTGTCGTTTTGAAAGACTTTTATTTCTATTTCACTTAAACAAATATTGATTATAAGATTAACTATTTTACCTCTATTCCAGGGCAACACCAACATACAGTTTCAAACATTCCCTCCTAAATCAGTTGAGGGTGAAGAAAACGTCACCTGTAGAATATATGGAAGAGATGGGGATGGTGATGAAAACATCACACGTAGAATAGATGGAAGAGAAGGGAATGTTAGTATTAACACTGATGGAAATTCGTCGTGTCAAATTGACATCAAAAATTTAACGACCGGTAAGATGGATTGATTACTAAAGACAAGAAGCTTTGTGTTTAAAAATAGATAAAATATTGAGACTTAACATACTTTATAGCTTGCTGTTCGGTGTGAGCCAAGGCTCCGTGTTGAAGGCCGTACTTTGACCTATAATTGTTTACTTTTTACACATTGTGACTTGAATGGATAGTTGTCTCATTGGCACTCATACCACACCTTCTTATTTATATTAAAGATTAGAGTGAGATACTTTTTCTTATCCATATTCATGAAATTAAAATGTGTATTGTACCACATTATTTTCTTCCCAACTTGTTATACTATATTCAACAAAGTTCTTTTCTACAAAAATAATGAAAATGTTCAAGTTCAAAGTTCGTCATGAACGGGCTACTATATTTACCGAAATTGATCGAAATGGACCGAAATGAAGAATTAATGTACCGAATAGACTGAAATGGACAATTATATACCACAATGGACTAAACGAAACCAAGATGGAATATACTTAATTCTACAAAAGGACCAACCAGCAAATTTCATATGTACCGTATCGTCTAGAACTTTAAACATTCGCTAAAAATTTGAAAAAAATGCAGTTTTGAGCCATCTTTAGGCATTTATAATTTTGTCAAATATTCAAAAATACACCAAATGTTGTTAAAACCTTAAAGTACACATTTGAATCTGTGGAGGTAAATACGTACAATTTTAGTTCCCTCTTAATTTGGGGGCAATCGATACCTAGCACTGATAAAAATGTCATAGATTAAGTCATCTGAACCTATTCTTTATATCAAGTAAACTGACCAAAAACTATAAATTCTTACACATCACAGATAAATTGTCATTAGAAGACTGATAAAAAGTTGTATTGTTACACATAAATTTTGATAGCTTTATGTTTTAGGTTGGTATATATTTGAAATAATTTATACGGAAGTTATTATTGGAAATGCCACGATCGAATTTTACAAGTGTCAGGATTTAAAAACGTAGGTTCCGTCAATTTCTACTGTATTTGTAATCTGTTTTTAGCTCACCTGGCCCAAAGGGTCATGTGAGATTATACCATCACTTGGCGTCCGTCGTCGTCCGTCGTCGTCGTCGTCGTAAACTATATCAAGAATCTTCTCCTCTGAAACTACTGGGCCAAATACCTTCAAACTTTAACTGTTTATAAACTGTATCCGAAGTTTTGATCCATCAACAAACATGGCCGCCATGGCTAAAAAAAGAACATAGGGGTCAAATGCAGTTTTTGGCATATATCTCCAAAAAAAAAGCATTTAGAGCAAATCTGACAAGAGTTAAACATGTTCAATAGTTCAAGATCTATCAGCCCTGAAATTTTTAGACGAACCGAACAACCCATTGTTGGGTTGTTGCCACTGAATTGGTAATTTTAAGGAAATTTTGCAGTTTTTGGTTATTATCTTGAATATTATTGAAGATAAAGATAAACAGCAAAAATGTTCAGCAAAGTAAGATCTACAAAACCGTTAACTGACCAAAATTGTCAATTGACCCCTTAAGAAGTAATTACCATTTAAAGACAATTTCACACAATTTGTTCATTATGTTTGCTAACATTTAAAAATCTTCTCCTCTGAAACTACTGGGCCTAATACTTCTAAACTTTGAAAGAATGTCCCTAGGGTAACTGGTGTATAAATTGTATCCGAAGTTTTGATCCATTAACAAACATGGCCGCCATGGCTAAAAAAAGAACATAGAGGTCAAATGCAGTTTTTGGCTTTTATCTCAAAAACTATAGCAGTTAGAGCAAAAGTGACATGGTTTAAGTCATGAATAAGTGAAAATCTACCTGCTATGAAATTTTCAAACCAATTAGACTACCAATTGTAGGGTTACTGTCCGAAATAGTTTATTTTTATGAAATTTTACTGTTTTTGGTTATTATCTTTAATATTATAATAGATAGAGAGAAAGTGTAAATGGCAAAAATGTTTAGCTAAGTCGGATCTACAAATAAGTCAAATGATCAAAATAGTCAATTGACTCCTTAAGGAGCTATTGCCCTTGAAACGTTTATTTTTTACATTTTTTCGTACAAGTCTATTACTTTTTCAAAAATGTTCTCTGAAACTACGTTGCCAAATACTTGCAAACTTTTACTGAATGTTTCTTAGGGTATCTAGTTTGAAAATTGTATCCGAAGTTTTGATCCATCAACAAACATGGCCACAATGGCTAAAATAGAACATAGGGACAAAAGCAGTTTTTGGCTTATATCTCAAAAACTAAAACAGTTAGAACAAATGAAAAAGGGAGTTAAAGTGATAAATGGGTCATGATCTATCTGTTATGAAATATTCAGACAAATTCGACAACCCATTGTTGGGTTACTGTCGGAAATAGTTTATTTTTACTAAATTTAACTGTATTTGGTTATTTTCTTTAATATTATTATAGATAGAGAGAAAGTATAAATGGCAATAAATGTTCAGCTAAGTAAGATCTACAAATAATAGATATAAGAAGATGTGGTATGAGTGCCAATGAGACAACTCTCCATCCAAGTCAAAATTTATAAAAGTAAACCATTATAGGTCACAGTACGGCCTTCAACACGGAGCCTTGGCTCACACCGAACAGTAAGCTATAAAGGGCCCCAAAAAATTACTAGTGTAAAACCATTCAAACGGGAAAACCAACGGTCTAATCTATATAAAAAACGAGAAACGAGAAACACTTATGAACCACATCAACAAACGACAACTACTGAACATCAGATTCCTGACTTAGGACAGTAGCAAACAAATGCAGCGGGTTTAAACGTTTTAATGGTACCAAACCTTCACCCTTTTTCTGAAACAATAGTGTAATATCACAACATAGAAAGACACACTATAAAATATCAATTGAAATAGCTTAACTCAATCAAAGGACATATTAACACCATTGAACATACACTGAACAAATAAATTTGACCTATGACACAATGTAAATACAAAATAAATAAACTAAGGGAAGAATAATAAAAGTAACATGTTATATCGGTAAGAAATGTTAAACAGTTAAAGAAAAACAATATGCTCGAACAAAAATACCATCCATTTGCAATAACTTTAAACACAGGTAAATGAAAATAATTTTGTTGTTAGGTATACGTGTACAGTACCAATAGAGAAAGGAAATATTTTTACAAAATAAATAAACTAAGGGAAGAATAATAAAAGTAACATGTTATATAGGTAAGAAATGTTAAACAAGTCAACATGATCAAAATAATCAATTGACCCCTTAAGGAGTTATTGCCTTTAAAACGTTTTTTTTTTACATTTTTAGCTCACCTGGAACAAAGGTGTTTAATTAGGAGGGGCATACTTTACAATAAGGAGGGGGAAGGCATAATAAGTCAACATGATCAAAATAGTCAATTGACCCCTTAAGGAGTTATTGCCCTTAAAAGGTTTTTTTTTTACATTTTTTGTGAAAGTCTAATTACTTTTTCAAAAATCTTCTTCTCTGAAACTACTTGGCCAAATACTTAAGAACTTTGTTTAAATGTTCCTTAAGGCATCTAGTTTATAGATTGTATTCGGGGGCTTGGTCCATTCAAAAACATGGCGGCAGTTTCTAAAAATAGAACATAGAGGTCAAATGAAGTTTTTGGCTTTCATCTCTAAAACTAAAACAGTAAGAGCAAAACTGACATAGTTGAAAGTGTTAAACAGGTTTAGATCTACCTGTCAAGTAATCTTCAGACCAATAGGACAACTTATTGTTGGGTTACTGTCCAGAAATAGTTAATTTTTAGGAAATTTTACAATTTTGGGTTATGTATTATCTTTAATTATATTATAGAAAGAGAGAAAGTGTAAATTACAAATTTGTTCAGCAAAGTAAGATCTACAAATAAGTCAAATGCCTGAAACTGAAATTACAGGTGAGCGATATAAGGCTCTCATGAGCCTCTTGTTTTTTTTTTATTATGCATTGTACTGATTTGAATATCATCACTATCAACTCAAACAACCATTTTTGTTATACAAGATTAAAAGAAATGCAATTTTTTGATAGCAAATAACAAATATATTATATTCAGAGGTAACAAAAATAGAATTACCATTAGTGAAGCGGGAAGCTGGCAAATTAGTTCATGTGATGGTACAAGCACCACATTTGGTCTGGTGTTCCCTTTTAGTCTACATTATCGAAGTAATCGTTGGCTACATGAAATTTTTAAATGGCCACCACATTATACAAAAACGTCATTATGTACACGTTAAGGAAAGATCACAATTAAAATTGTCATAACCCTCAGTTGGGGCAAGCAATTTGCACAGTTAAACCAAGTTTTACGTCTCGTCTAAGCTCTTTTTCGCCTGACAAACATTCATAGTTAATTTATTCGCTTTGCTCTCCAATAAAAAAACAAAAACTGCGCAGATCATATACTTGCATAAATGATAACTTAACTGTTAAGTATTGATAGTTTAATTTCATAAATTAATGTAAGTTTTTGTTTATTAAAAATCCAAAACACTTTGTGTTTAATCATACAAAAACAGTCCCAAAGTATCAATGGTGAATTTACAATAACTTCTATACATGTACATCTACGTATATACATCACAGGTTTACTTGATGTTTGATTAGTTTATCGTAGTTTACGTAAAGTTCAGTAGAACATATTTAGTGTAACATATTCAGAGACTAAACACGAAGTAACAATACATGAATTATGAAGGTTCTGTTTTCAATATTGGTCCGCCCGAGAAGAAGTGAGAGGAAACTTAAGGTGCCAATAAATATAAACAAAAAGAGGACTTTTGGGGTAATAAAGAAGTTTTGCTTTACAACATGTTAGCTACGAACAAAATAAGGAAATATTCTTCAAAGAGAAGCTTTCTGAAAACGAAGAGAAGACAATAACTCAACATTTCCGGTCAGACGGTTGCTTCTTTGAAATAGTTTAAAAAAATTAATATGTTTGTCTTTATTAAATATAGTGCAGAATAACACGTTTTTAAAAGAAAAAAAATCAAACTTTCATTTTCATTGAATTGAACACATGTACATGTACATTGATGAAAAAGACTTTCTTTATTAGCCTCGGTGGTCTCGTGATGACATGCTTGCCTGGTGCAGAAGCTATTCCCTCCGATCCTTCACAAGGCTAAACTGCTTTTTGACTATGTAAACTGCATTCAGGGATACGAGAAAACTTTTTTTTAAAAGACTGTCCTGTCGAAATCAAAATAATGCGTCTAAGGGGACGTGTACCTCCTGAATGTTATTGTGTGAACTAGCACGTTACAAATCCGGATATTCTTGGTGTATGATCATACAACATAAACATATTGATATCCTGAAAATTAGTGTAATACTTAACGTCGGACGTTAAACATCCATCAATCCATCTATTTCGTTGTAAAAACTAGAAAAACCGTAATAATAATTTCTCGTTTTGACAGATGTATGAAATGTCGAAAAAGGTATTATATTTGTGAAAGCTGTGATCCAATAATTTTTTTACGGGATGAACCTGAAAGCGAATTTACAATTCAGGTATGTGTTATTTTAAGTTTACTACATAGTTTCATATAATAATTGTATTATTTTATATATATATCGAAGCATTACCTATAGCGTGTATTTATGGGTTATTTTGAAAGTATTTAAGATAATGACTTCTTGGGTGAAATATTCTTATCTCTGATCTATTTTGTTGCTTGATTTTTAATCCATTTAGTTAGAAGCAGTCATTTGGCATACTATTGACTCAATATGACAAACAGTTGTATTGTCTCTACTGGCAGTTCGTATCATTCTATAAAATGAAATATGTTTTTGATGATTCAGAACCAGTTTCTTTGGATTGACCTTGTTATGTTCCTAAAAAAAAATCGGGATATTTAGTCATCGCATTGTCCGTCCCTCTGTTCGAACGTCCGTCTATCCATTTGTCTGTTTGTCCGTCTGTCTGTGAGTTTGATGAGTTGCCAATGATTGTAAATAATTAAACCTTTTGACGGTCACAATTCAAGGTCACTGTTACAAAAATAGGTTTTTTTTACTTGTTTTCGGGTTGTAGCTTGAATTTCCCTTCTGTGGTTAGAATAAAATTTATACAGATGGAAGAAATAGAAAAGGGGAAGACGTCTATTGATTACGGATTCAATAGGTCAAAGTTCAAAGTCATCGTTACAAAAAACGAGGACTTTTGGAAAACATGGGTTTCCTTGAAATGCATCTCTTTTTTTTCTGCAATGCTATTGTACACACACACCTGACCAATTTGTTTTGAAATTGATCCCACTAAAGGAGTTTTTTTTATATAATAGGGCACTGGAGAAAATATTTGTAACAATTTTGGTATTTACATACCATATTTGCGGTTTGGGGATTATCTGTAGACAGTGCCAACTTTCCAATTGGCTTTTTTTTTAGTGGAAAAGTATATTTGTGTAATTTTCCTAAAGATATTAATATAACGTCCTGTACGGTCGATAGTCATACTGTGCGTTCACGGTACTTTAAGATTTTTGGATTTAATTCTGATTTAGCTGTACTGTTACAGAGATTAGGAGAGCAGCCAGCACAGCTATAAAATTGAGAAAATGATATACAAATTTTATCGTGATAATTTTCATCTTCCGTTTATACTTTGTAACTAATAGTTGTTTACCCCATTTGAAAAGTGTTTGCGTTCCACTATAACACTGATAATAACCACCAGTGTTGTCACTTTTGTGGAATAATTATGAGATAATACCCAAATATAAGTATAGAAAGAATCTAAGATCGTTATTGTAAATAAATGGATAGCAACACATTTCAGGTTTGTATTTAACTATCATTTTTAAAATAAAATCAATGTTAGTATCAATAAAGACAATATTCAAATATCTCACTGGGATGTAAAATTGATAACCTTTGAAAACATAATAAACATAATAAACATAATAAAGGGACCAATATGTTATAGAAACTGCTAAATTACATGTAGATGTGATATACTGTTTATAAAATTGCTTATTTGTTTATCAGTTATACAAAAATGGAAGGTTAATATGTTCATGCAAATGTCGTTGTGGTTTGATTTATATCAAATTTAATAATCCAGTTTAAAATTGATTAATTCAAAAAGACGACAAGAAAAAAAGGTAACTTGTTTATACATGTATTTTATAATTAATATAAAATTCTGAGATCACGTTGATATCTGATACCGTCTTTTTCATGTGTCTAATTATACTTAAAGTTCTTTAGGCGCCAGCAAGTGATAACTTTGATAGACCACCATCTAATGACTAGCTACTTTATTATAGTCTATCTCATAGACCTTCTATGGTCATTGCTATGAATATGACGACTCTTTTAAGCAACATTCTAACAGAGCCTGCATTTAGAGTATATATCTCCAATTTGATGCGATATTCCAGAACTTGTGTTTCCAATCATGATTTTCTTGATAGAGGGTTGCTTCGTACAGGGAAACTATTGAACTACGAGTCCCTAGTGGTCAAGATTAAGTAATTCGAAAGTTTCACACACGCCATCATAAGTTGCTAGGCCGTTATGGAATATATGTGTCTCGTTACGGATATGTGCCAATTGTGGTAGCCACATTCCCGTCCTTTTTTTTTTCGCTTATTCATTCAATGAAAAGAAAACTCCATGCTTTGATCTTTTCTACTTCATATTTTTCAAAGGATATGTGTTGTGAAAGTCAATGTTACATCGACACATGTAAACAAAAACAGAAACTGTCAAATGTGAATCAACTGTCAATTCCTCATTACAAATGTACCTCATGCTGTTTTATACTACGTTTATTTTCATTACAGGAAGAAAAGACATGTCCCCAATTGGATAGAAATTTCACGTTACAGTTGCATGCTAACCAATTTGAAAATATAACCATTTACTTAATAGAAGTTGAAAGTAATGTAAGATAACAAATAATACGTAATAAGTTATTTCAAACATCATATTACATACGTCTTGATCATTTTTATATTCATATGAATATAGAAAATGCTAAACATGGTCTCGAAATATGAACATCAGTCTTATCTTATCAAAAGACATTTACTCTTGATGTGTGATGCAAAAAATATTATGTAGTTAAAATAATTATTTTTGCTTCGCATCACGGTGCTTTCATACCATATTCACGCCATCTTGAAATTATAACGTAAACAAATATCGGTTCCCATTGTTTGTCTGTTAAAATAATGGAAATATTCTATTGGCTAGAATGAGATATAGAATTGGGAACATGTCCCGGACAGGAGAAGATATTAAAAAGGGACATAGTTACAGTATGAGTATTCAAGATCCGATCAGATACCCGATCAATGAATAATTTTGCCTTTGTCAAAATTGACTGTTGAAAGTCCCATAATTTTATGAAACATGTGGAACGACAAACCATAAAATTTTAAAATCCATTGCTAGTCTAGATTTGTCAATACCAACAACAGTGTAGTTTATCCAAACATTCTATATCTAGAGTATGTCAATATAGAATATTACCATAAGTCCCATATCTGCATGTGGAATGACAAATCATAAATTTTCAATATCAAACGGTATCTCTGGAATGACGACACATAAGAATTTTAAAATCAAAAGGAAAATGTTGTCTATCAATCCTAATTTTCCGTTTTAGTTTCGTGGGAATTGGTTAAATATTTTGCAGGAAGTATTCGTGGACAAACTACAGTATAACCCCAAAACACTCATCTAAGACGGGCTTATAAGACCACACTTATGATTATATGCACAAAGGAGATAAATAACACCTTTATCGTACTTAAACAACTCTTAAACAACATCTTACTTAAAATTATGATACAGCGAAGCCCTCTAAGATACTTCAACAAAATTTTCTCATACTAAATTTTGCCAAACTAAAACGGCCACTTATCAAAATGTATTATGTAATAAAAAAGAGACTTTCGAATAACGTCACAGAGAAAGTGCAAATTATTCAAAGTCAATTGAAAATGAAAATTGCTATAAATTGAAACCAGATGTATTCAAAGGTTCTTATATTATATATTTTTTAAAGTTTGATGAAATCAAAAGAGTCCCTCTGTTTGTTAAAAATAATCATACCGTTAGACATGATGATATATGCGTTTATTTTTTTAATGAAAATCCATTCAAATAAATAATTGATTTAAGTTTGGTAATATTAGCCAATTTTGAATCGTTCGACTGCAGTTTTTAATTAAAAGAATCTCAAGCCGCATAAAACTATTTTTACTGTATTCATATATGATATTTAATTTTCAAAGTACCGCTAGCAACACTTGGGCTGCTGGAAATCCTAATTGAAGTCAAAATAGAGCAAAAAAGTTTATTTAATGCATTATTATTAATGTTGTAGTTAATTGATAATCTGACTTCATCAAACTTCACATGTGAAATAGGACAACATAATAGTGTTGTGCAGAATATACAGAATGTGGAGGTACGGTGGGATAGGAATTCTACAAACGTGTCATGTACATGTATAGGGGTAAAGGTAAGGATATAAAACTATCATTTCTATCAATATTTATATCCTCTTACAGCCTTACCGGGCACTTTTGTCTTCTATAATTACTAACAGTAAAAAATGGGAATCCTTTTACTGTAACTTTATATCTCGTCCAATCAGTAATATTTGTCCTCTTTGATTGCGGGGATATTAACCCTTTCGGAGCACCTGTGTTTTTATCGTATGTTTTTATAAGAGTTCGAGTTGCTCGATCTTTAGTTTTCTGTATGTTGTTTTGCGGACTACTATTTGTCTGTTAATTCGTCCTTTTTCTTCTCTGAGATCACCACTGTTTTTGGTGGTGTCATGTTATTCAGTCTTTTATTTTCTATGTAGTGTTTTGTGAAGTTCTCATGACTCCTTTGGATCTCCCGACTCTTATTCTTCCTTTTAATCTTTGTGTCAACAAATTGGTATGGGGTTTGCTCATTGTTGAATGCCATACGGTGACCTATAGTTGTTAATATCTGTGTCATTTGGTCTCTTGTGGAGAGTTATCTCATTGGCAATCGTACCACATCTTCTTATTTTTATATTATCAGCCAAAACACAGTTTACGTAATGACACCACTGTCAGGTATGGCTACTAACCTAGGCCTATTAGAGATAGTAACCCTTAACTCAAATGACATTATGACATTTGTATCGAAACTTCTCTGGTTAGATTTTTTATCATTGTAACATCCTTTCATAATTTCTATTATATACACTGTGACTAAATTACTCCCATCACAGTAAGGCCAATGTTGAGGATGGCTGCTTTCGTTCACATGATTGAGTTGTACGGAATGCAGTCACCTCAAATTAAATTTGGGTCCTGAATATTCCATGTTAGGAAAACGCCAAGCTCCATATTGATTAGTCAACAATTTCTATTTGTGTTTGTGAACAAGAAAAGTAACTCTCACGATCCAATATTGTTTGTGGAGTTTTATTTGAATAATGTTACAAACATTTGATACTTTATTTTCCTGCATAGTTCAACTGAGTATGATCAGTCCATAGTACTATATAAATAAAAGGAGATGTGAGAAATACGTCAACGTAAAACTTAGTAAACATGAGTTCAGCAGGATTATTTGCAAGTAGTTAGTACTCATATACTTGCACTGATGAAATAAAGTTTTTATCTATCTTTCAGCTGAATGAATCAGAAATGCCCTATGATATCAGGTTGAAATACAGTAATATGTATTTCGATAATGAGGTGACTCTATTTGGTAAGTTTGGACTTCATTCACACCAGAATTTATACAGCAATTTAAAAGAAATGTCAGCAAGCAATTAGTTTTGAATGGAAAATTTAAAAAAAAAACTATAATTTGTTCATAAGGTTGGAGTTAACCAATGTATTACATGAAATATCATACAATAAATATGAAAATGGTATTTTTTTTCATAACCACTGGTTTACATTGCAACAAGTTGTATTTTCTGAGATACTTGTCAAAATACACCCAAAGGCATAGCTAAATGTGCTTTATTGAAAGTAACTCAAGAAATAAATGCTTTAGATAAGTTATTTCTAAAACCTAATATTATTAAGAGGACATCTTGCCTTGATAGAACTAGCACATATTGAGCAATCAGATTGAATTGTTGCTATGTGATCAATGCACATACCCATAAACTAAATACCCGTTAACAATTTAGAAAACCAAATAAAGCCATATCATAATATAATTGAGAATTGGCAGTATCTTATACCTCGAAATTATTTTATTCCTTTTTATAAAGTTACACAATAAAAACGTTTATCTATTTTCTTTCAAATACAGATTTAATGTGCTAGGAAAAACTTTTTTTTGGATTTTTTTTTTTTTGGGGGGGGGGGGGGTACATCATTAATTACATATTCAACTTTTAACATGACTACAAATTAATATATTTACTTTTTCCTGTCGTTTATTTCTTTTTGTGTACTTTTTCGTGTTCCCTCTTTCAGCCAGTTTATTTTACAGAGCACCCAAATTACTAATCCTAATAATTCCTGTAAAAGTATCAAACATTGATGTGTATAAACGTTTGTTTTGTCACTTTTTTAGAGGCAATGTCGGTCATTTAATGGTATTATTAAATTTTGCTAGATTTTATGTTGATCTTGATTTGTATAAAATAACCTGAATGGTACCTTGACATAAACTGCATACTCCCTAAGGGGATTATCCCAAAGGCATGAAGGGAATAATAATCTTTCAGATGTCACAAAATTTAAAAATATTCTTCCATTGGAGAATTTTGCATTCAAACTTGCATATAACATGCATTTGCAAACAGAAGCTAACAAGTTTAATATATAAATGTCTTTAAGAGAAGATTCCAAATACGAGAACATCCAGTACAATCTTAATTATATCTCGCTTAGTTCGAGCCACGTATTTCCCTAACAAATCCGAAATTCTTTCCACTAGAGTTATAGTAACACAAGTGGATTAACCAAAGAAGGAACTTAATAGTGATGTCAACATATTTTTAAATAATATAGGGTATGATAAATATGCAAAGTTGAATAAAGAAGAATTTATTTTTTGTGAATTTGTAGTATACACATGCGGTAGTTTCTTGAACTACAGTGTCTGTAACAACTCATATTCCGTCCAGCGTTATGAATGTGAATGGAGAAACAGTAGATGCTGTTTTATAGGATCCGAACCATGCTGTCGAAATAATGGCGATATCACAATAACAGAGGTATACATGATTGCTTTAAATTCCCTTTACTATTGGTCATATCAAAATGAATAATTCTTTGAAATTTTTTTTCAACTTTACTTGAAATTTATTCCAAAAATAAAAGTCAACTAAATAAAATATTGAATATATGTAAATCTATAATATATTTCCTGTTATTAATATTGCTTCTTGTGTGGTTGATGATGTATGTAATGAAATGAAAAAATATTGTTTTACCTTTATTATCATGTTGCCAAATAGTTATAAAATATATTATGAAAGAAAAGAAGATGCTAAATAAAACACGGGGACAATAAAATTACATTATTCGAAGAAAAAACAGACAACGAAATGGCAGCCATACAAACTAGGAGTGATGTCATGGGTGAAACGATTTCATCTGCCTTATATATTACAGGAACAATTTTGAAAAATAACCTAGTCTTGTTGATCAATGCTATTTGCGCGTTGATTTAGGTAGCGGGGTGTATTCCTCCATCTTGGATTTTGAAATAGCAGATAACATTTGGTCGAGATTTTTCATGAAATGTTTAAATTTCGAAAGTAGTATGTAGTTCATGTAAAAGACTTTACATGTTAATATAGAAAACTGTGTGTTTTATAATATTTTACGGCTGTATTTTACAAAAAAAAAACAAATGATTTTGGTTCTTTCATTTTTTTTTTATTTTGCCATAATCAGGGGAGATAACTCAGATAAAAGGTAACTTTTACAATAGAATGTTTTGTGGATTGATCTATTTTGTAATGTAGCAAGAAAACGAGTCCGGGGATCCCATTTTTTCTTTTTCTTATCTGAAAGCATATCATTAGAGCTTTTTTTTCATATTCTATCTTGAAATTCTATGGTGTAATTTTTTTTTAACACACTCAATTGGGTTTTCCATGCATGATCTATACAAAATCTGAGAATTTTACACAACCTGTAGCGTGAAAATAAGCACGGTGACCCATACCTTTTGTTATATTTTTGAAAAAAAGCAGGTTATATATATATTGAAAAATTATCAAAAAATTCTATGGATTTTAAGATAGACCCATCTATCTTCAGATCAGTAAAACGATAATTGTATAGCAACATGATATTTCCAACAGAACGTAAAGAAAAGGTATCGTGCAATAGTCTATCATATTGCAGTAGTGCAAATATAGCTTTAAATTAATGGCGTCATCAGTGACAAAAATATGTTTTAAACAGTTATACAAGCTTTGCTATACAATAAAATGGTTATGAAATGAATATAAGTCAGTATAACTCCTCGTATAATACATGTATATATTGTGCTCAAAAACTCGTGCAATATGAATATCCACTCGAGAAAATATTCACCAATATTCAAGCAATATATATAGCAAAATATTATTATGATTTTAAAAGATAGTTATACACTAAAAATTATTTTCAGATTTACCCTATAAGTGGACCAGTTAATGGAGGAACATCAATTATTGTATCTGCAAATTACGAAGGAAATAGCACAGATGAAATTTTCCTTTCCATTGATGAAGCTGAATGCACCGGAGTTATAGTGAAAGATCAAGATAATTGGTAATTTAATCATTTTATTACAACAGTTTCGAATTTCATATCGATATCAATATAGAAATATTTATGATAATGTTTGTCATTTGGTTACGGTTTCATAATGGTTTACCCCACATCTCCTTTATTCATATTTATTTATTAAAACTGTGTATATCATACAATGGAAGTCGGAAGCTATTAAGCGTCTTTGGGCGTTTTACGAAAAAAAACAAATGCAGGTGAAGTATATTATATTAAGATAAGGAAGTACTAATGAAAATATGTCTTTAGCTATTTTGAGATTTCATCTCCAAATGGTACACCAACTTGAAATAAAAGTTACACTATGCAAATTTCTTCAGTCAAACCTGTATGTTAAGAGAACCCTCGGGACCAGATAAAACTGATCTAATAAGAGAGGTGAGCTTTGAATTAAGATTCAAATTGCATATGTTCTACTACATCGGGACAAGAAGAGAGTCACCTGATATGACTGGTTTTCTTTAAATTATATAGAGGCGATCTTTAAAGCAGGTTTGACATAAATCCTAAATATGGATGACATATTTTGTGTTAGACATTTTAAAAGTAGCTATTCTTAATCATTTATCATAAGTTTCATTTATTGCAGGTTCAGTTGCAAAACTGGAAAAGAAATTGTACCGAATAATGACACAATAAACATGTCCGTTGGCAATTGTCCAAGCACTATAGTGAATAATACATATTTTACATACAAGGTACTTATATTGAATAAGAACGTTTATGAGAAGGACAAAGAAGTTTACGCAAGTGATTTTACACTTTTAAGATAATAAAGATTCTTAACATTTCTTGACAAAATGAAACTGTATGGATATATGTTAACAACCAATATAAACTAATTAGGTTGTCGTGGTATAATGGTTGCAGTCAATTTTTACTATCCTACATATGAATATGTTTCGAAATGTACTGAAAAGGCAAACGGACTATTTTCATTACTATAATATTAACAAAATTAAACTCATCAGCTAAATTTGGAATGATTAAGGTCCTCTTCTAGAGAAATCATTGTCATAATTGACATGCATATATACATAAGAAGCTACATTATTTAGTTGACAGCAAATTAGTAATTTATAATATCTTTTATTTTATAAAAGAATGGCTTTCATAAACTATTATGCACTTTTATTATTTTTGATATTTACCATTGTATGACAAGATAAAGCTGAAATAAACAAACACGTCAATTGTATGCATAAGAAATTGAAAAATATTTATAACTCATCACCAAATTATTGTTCTGTGACAAAACAATTGTAATAATCGTTTATAAAAATGTTTGGTACCTGCTGTAGTTTAAGAAGTAAAAACAAATATACAATGTAGTATTACTATGTATACGCCACGAGAGTTTGATTTATTCTTTAATTTTCTTAATATATCGATTTGTGGTGTTAAATCACTACTGCAATTTCAGGACCCAGGCGTCATCAATAACTTTTATCCTAGGAAGGGAATCTTAGCTGGAAGTACAATCATTACCATAACAGGCCAAACTAATACGTTTGAAGGACAAGACCGATACAACATATCTTTATGTGATAAAGATAACGTTACATGCATAGAATGCAGGTTATTTGAAATAAAATATGCTTATATGATTTTGTAATATCGATTTACATGTAAGCTAAATGAAATTACAACACACAAATAGACATAAGAGTTCCATAATATAATGTCGACTTGAATGACATTTAATCATATGTCACACTGTCATTTACTATGCAATTGTCTACCTCAGAAAATGTTTACTTTTAAAAAAAATTCTGTTGAACCATAACAATGCGAAAATAAATATTCATTTTTCCATAAGAGCATGCATTATAGCGAGAAGATATACTGAACTATACAAGTTGAAACGGAAGGATCAAAATCCAGAAGATAATACGCAAAATTACTAAATTAAACGAGATAAGTTAAAGCAAACAGAAGTGTGCAAACACATAAAACTGAAGCTATGCGTGATGCAGAATTTCATTAAAATAGATGGGAACAACATGTGCTGCCGACAGGTTAACAAATCCTTCTATCCTTTTTCGAAACTTTAGATATGCTTTCATCTTTCAGTTGCACCTGCCAATATTGGCTCAGTCAAACCTTCAATTTGAACTACATATAGTAGCATTTCTCAAATGACAAATAACTCACGTCTGATTATAAATTTAGAGTTAAATCGAGATTTTCGAAAAGGACGTCCAGGAAATACATGTAATGGACGTCAATTATAACCTGTGCTAAATGCTATTACCCTGATACTAGTACTGACGATAACTAAAGTCAAAATATATTTACATTGTAAAAAGTAGTTCAATATGACAGTAAATAGGTTATTAAATGTAATCTAAACATACATGTTGTATGCATACTGTTACTGTGACTTGATAAGTGGTGTTCCTCTACACATATGGACATGATGGAAGAGCATTCAAAATTCTGAACTATGTGCAATTTGTTTCATATCATAATTTTAACTGGTTAAAAAATTCACAATTCAATTTTAGATAATTACAAAAAACAGGTCTGGGCCCGTTGAGCAGGTATCTTCTTATATTAACAACGACTAACCCTTAACTGTTTTTTTTTAAATTTTGACATATATGCCAAGTTAACTGCAAAAACATATTGCTTGGATTGTTATATATAATGTTGCTTTAATTATTAAAGAATGTTTTAAAGCGGTTTTACGTTGTTTCAGCATTCTTGATAGTCTTAATTTGCATGATTCCAAAATAATGTGCAAAACTAGGGAATCAAATGAAACTCGTAACTTGACAAAGCTGGTAGTTGTTATAGATACTTTGACAACATTACAACTGAATGGAACATTTCAGTATTTACCGGATCCAACATTTGATATATCGAATGGGACTTTAAAAGCTTTAGAGAGGTGGGTTTTGATTAATTAAGAATACATGATGAGGTATATATTCGAGGGCAAATTAGTGACAGCGAACATTTTCAACAGAATTAAAAATACTGTTCTTTAAAATAATTTATATTGAATAAGCGCCTTTCTTTAAATTAGTACAATCATTTTAGTCTACTTTATTAAATTGTCGATTATATAATAGAATATCTACCATTTCTGTATAAGTTAAAAAAAAACGTTTTAAATGTATCAACTTATGTTTGCCTTTTTGCATTGTTTCATATAACATGAAAAAGGTAAAACACTTTATAACATCTAATACAAAGTTAAAAAAATATAATGTTTAATATTTCATATAAGGTTAAAATTTCATAATGTCTCATATGACGTTTTAATGCTTCTAACATAAGTAATACATCGTTGCGGAAGTTCGAAGCTGACCCGCTGTAATTTGTGCATTTACCAAACACTAAACATCAACACATTACTGTAGGGCATTGGTAATAATTAAAGATAACGCTACTGGCTACTGAAAGGCGTGATAAACCAACTGTGGACAATTGAATAGAGATGTTCTGCCAATTGTATTATTCAGTATTGAAACAAGTACACTATGTCTGGTCTCCAATGGTATCAACATGCACTATATAATTTGATTTCCTCATTACTGTAAACTAACTTATTTTCGCGGATACTTTATTTCGCGTTTAGCCCTTAGTAGCCCATTTCGCGGCAATTTCATTTCGCGATTTTCAAATTTGCTTGAGATAGTTAAATGAGGAATGATCCAAGATTTACATATTCGCGACAATTTAACTGCCCGTTATTTTTCTACTCGCAAAAGACGTGAAAATAAGTCGCTCGTGAAAATTTGTATGTTAACAGTATGTAATGGATTTTTATTTTAAATGCAAAAAAAAAAAAAAAAAAAAAAAAAAAAAAAAAAAAAAAAATATTTTGAACAGCGTTTACTCTTGAGACAGAATTGAATTAATCCAGCTAAGTTTAGGAAGCAAAGAGATAAACTCAAAATAATTATATGTTTGATTTTCTCTACATGTTAATTATCATAATTATAGTATACCTAATCCATGTCACTTGACGACATTTATGAATTTGCTTGATTTTTTATTCTTTAGTGGAGGCGCTGAATTTAAAATCAATGGTGCTGGTTTTAATAACGTTGGACAAATAACTGTCGAGAGAGTGGTAAGTGATTTCAATGAAATAAGTGAATAATAGGTTAGACAGCTGATGATGCTGAAAGATAGATAGATGGATTAGATTACATGGAGAGAGAGAGAGAGAGAGAGAGAGAGAATTTCTGAAACTTACTGTAACCCCAAACTTTGTCCTATATCATACTTGGCAGTAAAATAAGAAAACACATGGCATGGCATGGTCATTTTTTTAAACATACAACAATTTTAAAATTAAACATCATTTACTGTCCACAAAATGCATCATCGGATTCACAGTACGCAAATAAAGTTAAGTGAATAAAAAGTTGTGTAACAGTACACTGGCCTTACATCATATCTAAAAATCAGAACATGTAGCTCTTTACTGTAGTTTTGGGCACATGTGTACCCTGCACTTCACATTATGTGCCGCCTTTTATTTCCTTTTTAAGTTATCGCTTATCCTGCGCTGTAAATTTAAGTTTTCTATATGTACATTACCTTTACAAATTATTGTCTAGAAAAAAGTAAAATAACAAAAATACCGAACTCCTAGGAAAATCCAAAACGGAAAGTCCGAAATCAAATGGCAAAATCAAAAGCTCAAACACATCAAACGAATGGATAACAACTGTCATATTCCTGACTTGGTACAGGCATTTTCTTATGAAGAAAATGGTGGATTAAACCTGGTTTTATAGCTAGATAAATCTCTCACTTGTATGACGGTCGCATAAAATTCCATTATTTTACAAAGATGTGTGAACAAAACAAACAGACATAATAGGTAAAAATGTCAAAAATAGGGGTACAGCAGTCAAAATTGTGTTATAATCTTAATCACTATAAAAAAAAAAGCAAATATGTAACAAAGAACACAAAAAGGCAAACATACAAAGCACATTGGCAAAAATGAAAGACAAGAATACAAAAATTTACCATAGCCCATTAACACAATGACGGGATGTATAAGTACAGAGCCACGTCAAATGAATACCACCAAAAATAGACTAAACAGTAAAAGTAATATTCATAAGGACAAATAAAAGAATACTATAACACGTTATTATACCCCACGCAACGAGTTGCGGAGGGTATAATGTTTTTGACCCGTCCGTCCGTCCGTCCGTCCGTCCGTCTGTCCGTCCGTCCGTCTGTCTGTCCGTCCGTCCGTCCGTCTGTCCGTCCATCCGTCATTCCGTCAGTCCTGTTTCTTGTCATCGCAACTCCTCTCAAACCACACAACAGAATTTCACGAAACCTTTTTAGATAATAAGGACATACTATGTAGTTGTGCATATCGACAGGAAATTACGATTCAATTTTTTTCTAGGAGTTACGCCACTTTGAACTTATCTATTTTAATGTACTACTGCAACAGTTTGTCATCTCAACTCCTCTGAAACCACACAACAAAATTTCATGAAACTTTGTAGATAATAAGGACATATCACGTAGATGTGCATATCGACAGGAAATTACGATTCAATTTTTTTTCCAGGAGTTACGCCCCTTTGAACTTATTTGCCCAATATACTACTGCAACCTTTTGTCATCGCAACTCCTCTCAAACCACATAATAGAATTTCATGAAACCTTTTCAGATAATAAGGACATACTACGTAGATGTGCATATCGACAGGAAATTATGATTCAATTTTTTTTCTAGGAGTTACGCCCCTTTGAACTTATTTGCTTCAATATACCTCTGCAACAGTTTGTCATCGCAACTCCTCTGAAACCACACAACAGAATTTCATGAAACTTTGTAGATAATAAGGACATACTAGGTAGATGTGCATATCGACAGGAAATTATGATTCAATTTTTTTTCTAGGAGTTACGCCCTTTGAACTTATTTGCTTAATTATACCTCTGCAACAGTTTGTCATCGCAACTCCTCTGAAACCACACAACGGAATTTCATGATACTTTGTAGATAATAAGGACATACTATGTAGATGTGCATATCGACAGGAAATTTTGATTCAATTTTTTTTTCTTATACAATTTTTTTTCTTACAGTTATTTTATTTCTCCAGTGACAATGTGGGGACGTGGGGTATGTTAGCGCGCTCACTAAGGTTCTTTAATTAAGATGATAATTTACCATAGCACCAAAAATAGACTAAACAGTAAAAGTAATATTCATAAAGACAAATAAAAGAATACTATAACACGTTATTAAGATGATAAATAACGTCAGTACCCAGAATTTATACCTTAAGACCATCTTGTATTATTTTGTGAAGTTGAAACGGAATATTTATCAACAAGGTCTTGGTACCTTCCGATGAACTTTTTTAGAAAAAGGACGAGACGTTCTTTGACATACCCTGGTTCATTAACTTTCTACTCAGACACTGGTGACGTTTTACAAAGTCTGAGTAGCAGCTGCAAGCTCTTTAATACCGAATAAATTGGGAAATATATATCCCATATAAATGTGAAGTTAGTATATTGCTACTAAGGTGGGGGAAATTGATGATTTCAAAATTAAAATCGTCTCGTTTGTTATAGATTCTGGTACTGAGATGACCGCGTATGTCAAATTCGAGGTATAAATCTAAAAATGGGACGGAGAAAGCCGTGTCTGTTGTTTCTTTAATTTCTAGTTCTGGGGGATATATTAATGGAATCCAATCAGAAAAGTTTGGATTGTTAATAGAAAGAACATCATCAATATATCTGAATGTGAAATTAAATGATCTGGCTTCTTCGATCTTCTTGTTTTTGACAAGTGTCTGAAGGAACTCCGACTCATATGAAAATAAGAAGAGGTCGGCAAGGAGAGGCGCACAGTTCGTTCCCATAGGAATGCCGACAATTTGCTGAAAAAGTCTACTTCCAAATTCAACAAATATGTTGTCAATAAAAAAACTCCAGTATACTGATCACTTGTTCCTCTGTGTAGCATGTTTTACCTTTTTGTTCACTATTAACAAAATATGCCGTATGGTATCCCAAAGTAATAAATTTATAGCGTATGCTACCATTTTTATGGTGAAAAGCATTGTGGATTATTTCTTTTAGACGATTTTTCAATTTCACATGGGGAATGGTGGTATACAGGGTTGAAAAATCAAAAGTTTTGACTATTAATTTCAGAAAAAGATCAAGATTTAAAATTATTCAGAAGTTCTTTAGAGTTTTTAAGAATCCACATATGGTTAATACTACTACGCTAGTAAACAGTTTCACTGTATTTCTGAAGACCCTCTTTCACTGCGGACAGAAGTTTTGTCAATCTAATGGACAATTCTATAGTCGAACATGAAGATGAGCCGGCAATGTACCGTTGTTTGTACGGAATTTTGTGAAACTTGGGTATCCAATACAAACAAGGTAAGTCCTCCGATTTGCTGTTCAATGTAATGTTCATTGAAGCCATGAAGGACTTATGATTCGCCATCCTTGTCAAATGATATGTTTTTGTATGTGGGATTACCTGAGTGCTCATTTATTAAGACACTCGTAGTAGTACGATTTACAAACAAAGACAATATTATTTGAAGCTTTGTCCGCAGGAACAACAACATATTTATCGTGAAGAGATGATAGACATTTAACAGCGTCTTTGTCTCTGAAAACGGACATTGGTCAGTTTTTCAACTTATGAATGCGACGTTTTATCAGAGACCTGATTGTTTTGACCCATTCTGACAAAGTGTCCAGTTCAACTTCTCGTTTAGTCCATGCTCTGGCGTAGTCCTCAATGGAATCCATAATTATTTGAAGTTATGGTTCCAATTGATGTGTTGGGGTTCTCTAAACTTAGAACCATGAGATATCTCCTTTCGGAGATGTTCATGTTGTATTATGTTTAGATCCAGTAATAACATGGCCAGAGGGGCTGTAAATATAATGCGAGTGGGAACATTCACATGTCAGAGGTTTTTTAGGTATTGTTATAAATCAAGGTTCTGCAATGCTTGTTTATACTTAAATACTTTGGGTGCAATGGTTTTGGTGTAACTGTGGGAATTATCAATAGGAACAGACTGATTTTGAAAATAAAGTGGAATATTAGATGTTACCTCCTTATGATGTAGAACGTTGCTGATGTTGATTGCATCAATTCCTTTATTGGTAAACTGAAGAGAAAGGTATTTCCTCTTTTACTCATGTAAAGGTCCGATCTTACTGGATTGAAAAGACGGAAAAGAGCTACATCACAATTTATACTGACAAGTCTGTATATTGGAGAAAATGTATTTTTGCATCCTTTGTCAAGTGTATAATCTCTAAAGCATTTTCACCAAGGTTGTGAAAAAAGAAAAGTTCTAATGTAGTGTAACACTAGCGGACGATGAAGATGTGAAAGGAGGTCATCAAAGCTCCCAGAGGGCGATCTAGATTTGGAAGATTTCTTTACATTAGGCCGATGATAATGACTACGTTGGTGTCGTAAAGTAGTATTAAGTAAGCTCATTACATTTACATCACTGCAGGCTGGACTTGACTTGACAAATTTCCTACTCCTTTGATGTTATCATTGCAACCATATGGCATTGCAGTACCTAGTTTCCTTATCCAGAAATTTTTTCTATCTTTTCGGAAAGGAGTACTTAGTATAGGGCTATTGGTGTGGTGATACATTTTCTTGATGATGAAAGAAGGATCACGGTCTGGTTGATTAAAATGGTTATAAAGAACCCTGAATTGCGGACCTTTATTATCAGATGTTGATTCATCCTTTTACGCAAAGTTTGTCGAGTTTCACCAACATAAAGTAAAATCAGGAGTCGTGATTAACATATTACATGTCTTACACGTGCTCCTTTTTCCTTTTTTATGTCTACAAGAAGAAATGATAGGTGCTGATTCCCTTGTAGGAGGTGTCTTTAAACAGTCGAAAATATTAACGGAACATGGATTTAATTTATGAAAAGCATCTGAATTTTTAAAGTAGTAATTACCTTCTGGCTGAACATACGTCAAATCAGGGGTATCCCAAAGGATATTCCGTGGAACATACAAATCAAATGCTACAATGTTCCGTGTAGCAGAAGAGGACCTTGGTAACCCTGGTGACGTCCTAGCCGGTTTGTTCTTTGTATTATTTGTATTCATCATGCATAAAGCTACCAAGTTAATGATGCCCTCGGGGAATAATCCACCAGCAGTAAAATTTCTTCTAGGAAGAAACTGACATCGACTTGGTTGTAGTAAAGAGTAAAATAACAAAAATACCGAACTCCCAGTAAAATCCAAAACGGAAAGTCCGTAATCAAATGGCAAAATCAAAAGCTCAAACACATCAAACAAATGGATAACAACTGTCATATTCCTTACTTGGTACAGGCATTTTCTTATGTAGAAAATGGCGAATAAAACCTGGTTTTATAGCTAAGGTGGGCATATGAAGGGGGCGATTTGTGCGCAGGTAAAACTACATTACATTCCTGTATTTTTTAACTTGTTTGTACGTCTATTTCTCGGCTGAATTGGTTGGTGTTGGTGGGACTGTTATGTTGTACTATACAATATTTTGGTAATTCCTATTATCCGTCTATGAAATATTGTGTACTTAACAAAATAGCACATGAACGGCGCTTTTATTGCTGTTGTATTTGCAAATTAAAGTGAGGTCTTATAAAAACAGAACAAAAGCCCACATCATACTCCAAGTCCGATACGTTCCTACCATCAGTTTTTAAATGTGTATGACTAGTCGCAAGACCGGTATGTATTCGACTTATATAACGGTCTTTGGACTTATTTTACTTTACATACACGCCATCTCGCAATTATTACTTAGCAACAGTTAGTTCTGATTGGTTACGTATTTGTGTGGCTAAGTTTCTTTTGGCTTGAATGAGTTACAAAAAAAAATTATGAACAAGTCAGGAAGGGGATAGAAAATTATAAATGGATGTTGTAATAGTATGGGTATTAGAGACGTGATCGATGAATTTGTTGCTATAGGATCACATATTGTTGGATAATGCTGATAGTAAAAAATGATGCATTTATTATAACATGTGTAACGCATTTCCTTTGCAAACTTTAATCTGTTTAGAGAGGCGATAGATACCAAAGGGATAAGTCTAATTCGGTAAGTCACATTCGAGGAATGTGATAACGACAATTGGAACATATGCGTCGTCATCTTTGAAAAAGATATTACAACCCGATTAGTTTTATTCACATTGTTTTCTATACATGGGTGTTATAGCATATCATAAGTTATTGCATAAAATATATGAAAATGATATTTCTGTTCACTAATTCGTTTACTCGATGCTGACCGATATGTTATTTATCAATTATGGACGGGGTCAATACGTTATATATGAACCTGTTCGGATCATATTGATCGAGGACGAAATCCGAGTGTCAATATAATCTAACAGGTCCATATATAACGTATTGACAGTGAAAGTCCTTAATTTTTATATTACTTATGTAAATTATGTATCAGGAAAATGGACTTCAATGTTCTTTCTGTGTATTTTTAAATTGTATTTTGCAAGATTATAACATGCCACTGAAAATATCAATAAATAAGATAAACTTGTTTTATTGTAAACAAAAACACAACATATTTTTTTTTTTTTTTTACAACAAATAAGAATTAAAATTGTATAATTTTCGTCTGCTGCGCTTCTCCCTCGATTGTTATGTGTGTCGTCATGACATAGAGTAATTTCGGACCGGAAAGGCTTATATACGGATCTTAGTTTAGCAAGATCAGTAATATTGACTGTCAATATACATATTAATAGAAACATAGCATCAAGGAACATAAAAATAGAAACAAGGCTTCAGATACATGAAATTACATTTGAAACACTTGATCGTAATAACTAATGAAAAAAGTAAAATGCTACACCATATGTAATATTATCAAATATTTATTTGTTAAAAGTAATTTGTTTAACAAGCACTATTTGTATGAGTCTAAACGGAACTTTTTAAAACAGACCACCATAACAACTAACACACATGTATAAAACCTCAGCATTGTACATGTAGGTGTAAAACTCGGAACATAGAAAATTAAATGCATAAAAAAGAACCCCATAAACAAAAGCTGAGGTTTATTTATGATATTGAGAAGCACTCCGTACCTTTTTGGAAAGGTTAAACTTATGTACAATAATGATTCAATACGTTTTCTAAGATTTCTTAGATATATTTTAATGACGTTCAGCTGTTTTAAAAATACAGATGCAAGTGACATCCAGTAATACCAGAATGCCATATATTATTGGATGAATAGACGGATGTATGAATAGGTCAAATTATTCAGTTATATAGTTTAATAAAATAACACCCTTTTACGCACTTGTATTGCACTCCTTCGTCTCAAAGTCACAGCAAGGACTTCTTCAAGTTAAAAAAGCTCACAGCGATCTGCAAGTTATATGCATTTTATTATCTATTTTTAATATATAGATATTTACATTATTTAATCGTTTCACCGGTCAATATAATTTTAAGAAACTCGACGTAAATACAAAGTTACAATGTTGAAAATCGGAAACATTCATATCTGTACTTTTAGTTTCTTTTTTTTTCAGGATGAGCCTTGTAAAGTACCTTCTGATAAGCAAGCTGTTTGCCAAACACCTGAAAAATTACTAAATCAGACAAATGTCCAAACTGTTATTGTTAATTTTGACGGAATAGCACGTGCTTTTAAAGTTAATTATGTTGATGATCCTTCTTTCGAAAGGTTCGATGGTGTAGTTGATTATGACAAGGAATTTCCCATTACAATCAAGGTACGTATAGAAAAATCACGAATCATCATAAAAAAAATTAATGATGAATTTCTGAATGGTATATTTCTCATAAAATAATAGTATGTCAGTTTCATTTACTTAATAGATATAGGAAGATGTGGTATGAGTGCCAATGAGACAACTCTCCATCCAAGTAACAATTTATAAAAGTAAACCATTAAGTTCATTTAACTTCTATGTTGTATTTTGTGTACTGTTGTTAGTCTGTTAGTCTGTTCGTCTTTTTTTTCTTTTTAAGCCATGGCGTTGTCAGTGTATTTTCGACTAATGGGCCATTTTGGAATATTGGTACAAATAAATACATATTTAAATATTTTCGTACCAGGAGGTATTAACAGTTCAGAAATCAGTGCTTCTGAACTTACAAAATTATATCATACCTTTTTAAAAATCTCTGTTAATAATTATTATGAAAATAAGGGACCACTCCAACTTTTTCAGTATGGCAGTTTTTCAATGATTATAAATTTTATATTTATCAAATGAGTGGTTACCTTAGTTTAAAATGATACCAATCTAATCATTTTCCACCAAAAATGTCTTTTTCTAACACTTTTGTTACAACTTATTTTATTCTGAATGACAAAAATCACACCAAAAACAAAGACATTATCTCACCCATTTATTGACGAAGACAGTGAAATTTTTCAAATCTGACAAAATCGGGCTTATTGTATGATATATGAATTGGATGTGGAAATGTTAGTTACAGAATTGACATATTATACGGTATGGGTTTTACTCATATTGTTGCCTATAATTGCTTATATCCACTTTATTTGAACTATTGTGTAAAGTTGTCTGATAGGAAATCTTACCACATCTCCTAATTGTTATATTGACCGACCTGAAATGGCTATTTTACACATAAAATTTGAAAAAAAAACTTTTTTTTTGAAGAGCCAAAGCGTTACTGAAAATTGTATTTTCCCTACATCAGTATCTTCATGTAGGACATTCTGTCGTAGACTTTTTTTGGATAAGACTTTTGCTCATATAATTATATTATTCAATATAATTAGTTATTATTAATACACGATTTAAATTATGACTTTTCAAGACATGCCTAAAAAATTGTACATTTTTTTGCCTGATTTAAAGCTCCTCAAAACCATTTCCAAGTTTGAACCACTTGAATATGGTTGGGTTTTTATCTTTGAATATAAGTTGTCCTTCGTGTACTCTAATGTCAGAGAAATCAATATTTCTAAGAGAATGTGACATTTTAACGAAAGGCTCCATATATATCAAGCCTCAGGTCATTACCTCAATCTAGTTTGGAATAAAATGGATGCATTTCAATAGTTTAATAGAAATTCAAGAGCAAAAGCCCGTAATTTTTATTATAGATTGCAACTAAATCTCAATACTATACATATTTCTGCGAAATGGGCGGTTAAGGTAGATCATTGGTATATAATTCCTTAGAAAGCATTTTCTTATACTTTGCCAAAATGTAGATTTTAACATGCTTTTATCAAAAATATAATAAAAGGTATGGGTCACCGTGCTATTTTTCAAGCTACAAGTAGTGCAAAATTGCCCAAAATTGCATAGATTGTTCATGAAAAAACAATTTTTTGTGACTAAAAAAAGATCTATGAGATAGAATTTTGAAATAAATTATGAAAAGATACTTTTTTAAAAAGCTTTAAGAAAATAAAGAGAGAAAAAATGGTGCCACCAACCTCAAGTAAAAAAATGAAAATTTTTATAACATTCCTTTATAAATAAATTTACTATTTGAGTTATCTCCCCTAAAATGGCTAAGTTTATAATTTGATTAGAACAAACACCAAATTTGGTATTTGATAAATCAGTCTAAATAATGCAATAAATCACTTATTTTTCATTATTCCTACAAACAGTCTAACACATAATTTCCAATCTGTCTCAAATTTTCAGATTTAGGCAAAGAACTAGACCAATTGTGATCTGATATTTTACAATCCAAGATGGCGGTACATAGTTAATCTACCTTAAATTGCTATATGAGGAAACAATTTGCTGAACATTCTGTTCCGAATGCGTCATACACTTCCATGAACATATCGCGGTAAAATCTGGAAGTCAGTCCAAGTCAAATATGCAAATATCGTTATAAGTTATACCTAGTAAAAATTAGGATACTTACTTCATACAATGTTGTAACCTTTAAGATTAATAGTAATGACCATATGTCAGACTAACGTGTATCGTCATAGGCGGATACTTCTTTTTTTTTCTTTCCTCAATTTGCTATACTAAATACTTCGCTAATCAAATTTGCTGCGTATTGCAATATAGAAGACAGACGTGCATATTTAAATTGTAACTCTAATTACCATGTGAAATTATTTTATTCAACGATTCCATTACATAACTTAGACTAAAATCAGAAGTAGACACAAAGAGTTCTAAAATTAAAACTAGTATAAACCCATTTCTTATCCATGTGACTGTAAAGGACCTATTCGGTGGTTGTCTTATGTCGTATCTTTTTGTTGTTTGTTATTTGGAGAATTATGTTTTGATAGCAGATCTCTGCTAATTACTGTAATGTTATAATATAGTGATTCACAGCTTAATTAAGTCTTGTGATAATTTAGAACTTTGCATATTGTATTGCCACCTGTGTATTATGATTTGTAAAAAGATTACAACAGACAACACCAACTAATGTAAACGCATGACAAGATGTGTCAAATTTTGTTTTGATTTATAATAAGATGATCCAATATATAATGATATAAATTTACAAACCCAAGTCATTGCTAAAAGCTCTATCAACGAAAATCATAAACGCAAATTCTTGTGTGGAAACATTAAACTAGTTAATCCTTTGTCTTCACCAAATGTGTTAAGTTGATAATTACTGAATTTGTTTTTACATTGAATAAACAAATTAGGAATTCAAATATAAAAAAGTATTCAACGGGTAATTGAACCACCCATTAATTCACGAAAAAAATTAAAACAACAATTTATGAAGTTACTGTGTACGAATCGCTCTTCTGAATTTACCTTCATCAGGAACGCTGAAAGCCAAATATGTATAAGAACCGAAACAGTTGAAGAGCTATATGAACGAAAAGAACCTAAAAAGAATGTGCTTACTGTTGTTCGTGCATATTTGTCAGTATTTGAATTCATGGATTATATCGTCTCTAGAATACAATTGAATTATGGTGTAAATAAAGTAAAAAACTCAAGGAACTATAACTATTTCTACTCTTTCTTGCTTCCTATAATTCAACGTCATAGACAACGACTTGACAACACTTACTGTTTTATGACAATTACAGAATTAATCACACTTGTAAACTTATTGGATATTATTTTACTTAGAAATCACGGTGTTTCAATGTAACCAATGTAACAAAACTCGTTTCGATGAAGTTTATGTTTAAAATACACTTCTTTTGTTTCCTTGTGGATTTCAATTCCAAGGGTTCACGTTTGAATCAAAACAAGTTCATATAAATCATATCTCAGTAATTATTTTTTAATGCTATCTTTTTATTATGATCTTTCCTTATAGGGTAAAAATATCTTAAATGGAGCTGGAATCGGAGATTACAACATACAAGTTGGTTTGGACGGAAAATGCCTCATATCTGAATCTGACATAACAATGACTTATATTAATTGTTTTCCACCAAAAAACGTTCCTCGAACAAATAAGTCAGAAGTAAATACAGTTCATGTAATTGTAAGTATAGATGAGACTAGACTGTTCAATATTAGACATATTAGTATGTAAACTTAGAGGCATCAGTAAAAATTTACCTATATTTGAAGCTTGTAGATCAATTGTAAATGCAATATGTATGGAATGTGTGTAGCAATTCATCTCTGTTTTCGTTCCTTTCAAATATTGATTGTATTCATGATCTGTTTGTTTATTGTATTTTATTACATGTGTCACCAACGCCGAAAGTAGGTCCAGTAAGTACTCGACTCCGTCCGTCATTCCATCATTGTGTTCGTTCGTCCGTCAAAGTTTGGCCACTATGAATGGAAATGATTTAATATTTGGTCTGCAGCTTGATAAAATTTGGTGTAGAGTGAAAGCTTTCATTGCAGAGCAGCTACATTTTTGCCGATAGTTTGAAATTTTAAAATGCTCATTGTGAACGAAAAAATTATTGTGTCTTCTATATATGCAAGTGAACAATTTGATATTTGGTCTGGAGCTTGAAAGTGTTGAATTGAAGCACGAACAAATTTTTTAAATCTACCGTCCCGCCACTTCCTGTTAGCATGTAGCTTGAAATTAAACCATTTCTTGTATAAGGACAATTAGTACAGGTTTTCGTGACTATATTATTAATGGGAATTAGTTTGTATTTGATGTGGTGCAATTATACGCGGTAAAGTAGGTCTAGACGCGGCTATGGTATTGTTTTCTTTTTCAAATAGCTCTCTTTGTTTCTCTAGGATGTAGCATAAGTTATGAAAGTTTTACAGGTTGAGGTTGGTAGGATAAAGGTTTATATTGGCGACTTACAGTACCAGGAAGACGTAAAAATATTAGCTATTATAGTTGGTGTGTTAGCCGCTGCATTACTTATTGCTGTTATCATTGGCATACTTGCTGTTCTTGTATTAAGAAAGAAAAAGAAAAAAGCTATCAAGGAATTCAAAATGGAACTAATGACACGCGAAGAAATGGTACGAAAAGCTAGCAGAGAAGGTACTGATAAATGTTAATAATCTAAAAGGGAAATTGCAATGTGTAATTAGGCATATAAAAATGTGTATTTTAATGCAAATTTGTTGATCAATTATGAATACCTATATTTGGAATCTAAAGTGTAAATATTCTAAATGACCAAATTACAATTACACAAGAAACTAAAGTAGAATGACCCTTTTACATGGATTATTGTAGCTGTTTGTGATGTAAGCGTTTGTGATGTTCATATATTTTTAATATAAAGTTTATCTTACAATGAGCGTCGATTAAGAACTAAAATTTCCAAGACGAGAGCAGACTACCATTATCCCACTGTAACCATTACATTTCTATCTAACAGCATCTGCAGAAATATGAAGTGAATATTTCGCAGTTGACACTTTATTCCAAGGTTTACGTTACGTATCACGATTTCCTTGAGATGAGGTTGCTGCAAAGACACAAGGTATCTATTGAATTGTGAAGTTGAAGACATTTCTGAGACAGTTTGAATGACGACATCATGGTTGCAATGACCGTTATGGTATATCTGTATGATAATGAACATGTATATGTTACATTTGTACACATAACCCTGTCTTGTTTTCTTCGATGGTGTAATTTTCTAAAGCGACTTAGCACAGGATTGTCACTAGCCATGGACAAAACGATTGATGCCACTAGTAAAGCAATAATTGCTTAAGTTTCTGAAATACCTCTGTTTACCTCCTGTATCTGGTTTGGGTTCGTGTGTCTTAACTTTTTCTGCGGGGTGTTTAGCTGACTGTTTTCTGTCCGTTTGTCTTTTTCTTGTTTGACATAAATTGGACAAACATGGAAAAATTACATTAACGGTATCTTTTTAGTTCACCAGATGTGCTTTTCGACAATTATTATCTCTTCGGTGATGCTCGAAGCTACAATATTTAAAAACGTAAAATACAATACATATGTTGAAGGGCTTGTAAACATGGGAAAAAATACATATCATATTTCTTACTCGCACCCGAAATAACTTTTAATGCTTGATTCGAACACGTCTAATGGACTCCCTTCTTTAAAAGCTGATGTATAGGTATTCTGACATGCACAGAGCTTAACATTTTGCTTGCATGTGACAAAAAAGTATCGCCCACAATAAGATTTGAATGTAGTATGTACCTATGAAGTATAAGCAGATAAAGACTGGCATCGATTCCATGGTTAACGAATGGTTAACTCTTTTTGTTTCACTTTAAGATAGTTTCATTGGAAGAATAAGTTAAAATGTAGCTAAAAATTCATTATGGATACGAGGCGTAAAACTATTTTTAGCGGACGCCTTTTTCTTTTATTTAAAAACCCTTGAGTGGTGTTCGAATCAAAACAGTTCGAAATTCAAATCAACTACGAAGTTAAGAGCATTGAAAAGAATTATATCCAAAAAAAATCATTGCCAGAAAAAAAAATGCTAAACTTTTTTTCACAAAACTTGTGAATTTGACACAACCCGACTTAAAGCTAAGATTGAGATCAAATGTTCCAAGAGATTTACAATTCCATCTATAAGTAACATTCAGAATATAAGATTATGTTTTGAGGACGTAATGCTCATGATACTAGTAAACCAATTTTGATCTGAAACGGTCATTTTGATCTAAACAGAACTGAAAGGACTGAACAATAAATTGTTAAGTTATTTTCAGTTTTTCATACAACTTAAATACGTATCCACTGCGGTAAATTCAGTTCTTTTCAGATAATGTGCATGCAGTCAATACAGATCTTTTCAGTTGATGTTCGGACTGTTCAGTAGTTTTTTTTTATCTGTAAACTTTAAAACATACTGATTTGTCCGGAAATTTACTGAATAATATTGAATGGACTGCAAGCATATTATCTGAACAGTACTGCATTTACCGCAGTCGAAATAATTGAGTGAAAGACTGAACATGACTAAATAATTTATTGATGATTGTGTGACCTCGATTATTTTCCACGATTCAAATTTCGACTTAGATTAAGGAAGTTGTTTGTAAAGCGTGATATCAAAATCTACCATCAAGACCAAATTTATCAGTAATTCATAAAAGTATAATTGTAATTCGGTAGACAGTGTGACGTAGAGGAAGTTTGGTGTGAATTACATGCAGCATCCACACACAATTCTATAAGTGATATGGAACATGTCCAAATGAACAGATTTCTTCAATTTGATTCCTTGTAATATATTGAGATAATGTGGCTGTGTAATTTTGAAGTTTGTTTTAAAACTATCACTCAAAAAGCGGCTCATGTTGACAAGCTGTGGTTTTTTATCATGTGGCACATGGAACAATTCTTGTTTTGGATTTTTTTTTAATTCAAAATTGTATTATTATCTATTTTTCAAATATTGTTATTATTTTTTTGTTAGAATTCGCAGATGCTCAGATGACAATGAGAAGTATAAAATCTGACCTTTTCACCTCAAAGGTACCATTTTGTGACTACAAGACGTATGTTCTTCGTCAACTCTTTCCAAACCAAGATATAACAACCAATCCTTTACTCCACGGTTTAGAGGTAACTTGCACACAATAGTTTTAGATTTAAACGTAAATCTTTTATATCATTTTCAAATAACTTATTTGTTAGTTTTTTTTTAGTTTTTAATGTTATTGGCATTTAATGATACATGCAAAGCAGGACAGCTTTACCCCATCTCGCACCGTGTAGTGTTCATGGGATCGGGGTGTTCTTATTTTGAATTGAAAATTCATTTACAAATTACGGCCGGTAAATTTCGCATACCAGGAAATGTTAAAAACATTTATCATTTTATTTAAGATATCGGATGAAAAAAAAGACGGAACTAAGACTGCGATTGACAATTTTAAAATGTTATTGTCGAATAAACTTTTCCTGAAGTCATTAGTCCAGACATTTGACCGTCCAAATACGCTGACAATTCAAGAAAAGTAAGTAGAAATTGTTCGTTTCAAAATTTACCAAGGTAATTTGATACTGAATAAAGTTGTCTTCTTATCTGATTTAATACGCTTATACATATCAAAATATGATCCTCTTCTTTCCCTTTTTACGCACATACATATTCTAATTAAAATAATATGGGTTACACATGAGTGCAGTCACAATAAAACTTGCACCGTCCTATATATTTTTGAACGAAACCAGAGATCAAAATTGAAAAATTATTAAAAAGTAAATATATATGCATTTGTACGCTTGTGGCTGCCTTTCTAACGTTTCTTATATGTCCGCATCGAAGGAAAAATGTTATGATTTTTCCTATTTGAATTGAAATAATTTTTCCAGCCATGCTCAAAACTTTTTTTTCAAATTGGGAGGCTTACGCACATATAAAAACATTGACAAATATAATGTCAGAAATGCAAGAATGATAATAGAGCAAAATGTGAAGGAACGACATCCTAAATTTATCAAATGACAACAACATCAACCAAGCTAGCAACATATATATATATAGTGATACATGTATGTGGTCATGATAAGGTCACGTTTGAACTCCTTGAATTTGAAAATAAAAAAAAGGCATTGAAATATATCAAATAACACCTTTGATATGGTACAAGCCATTACTTTATCAGATATCAGTAATTGCATTTGTGAATAGTGAATTACACGTTGGCTTTAGGGTTTATATCATATATTGCCTTACATAAAACGATACTTTGATGCAAGATGGGTTATACAAAGATGTTTATTTCAGTAAAATGTTTTATATAATGCTTTAACTAGTTACTTATTTTTGGGTTGTACAAAGATGTTTATTTCAGTAAAATGTTTTATATAATGTTTTAACTGGTAACTTATTTTACCATAAACTATATATCAAATGGTCATTTTATGTCCAACTCAACATGTTTATGACGATATAATGACATTTCAACTGACATTTTTCTTCGGAAGCGACCACAATAAATAATCCTGTTCATTTACCAAAAAATCTACATAATTTGGAAATTTTGATACTATTAGCATTTCAGGGACCAATAAATGACTCTTTTTAAACCTTTTCCTTAACAATTTCATTACTCATTCTAATCATGTTTAATGCATATCGATGAACGAGTGCCCTGGGAGGGTTTACATGTCTGTGTTCTTTCATTTATAGACCATTTTTATCTGTATCATTTTTGTCCATAATTTTTTTTTTTTTTTATTATTTTTAAGCACATCATCATTCTGTATTTTTGTTTTTTCTCTCAAATAATCACTATTTTGCATATTGTTCTCTATCTGTAAGCCCAACAAGACCCCATAAAAATAGCTTGCATTAAAACAAATAATAATTGGTTATTTCAGAGCACATTTTTCATCCGTTCTGTCAATTTCATTGATGGGAAATATGACACTCTTCTTCGAGTAAGTATAAATTAAATACGACGTAATTTTCCTGAACCAACAATTTTTGTTCTATAAAGAAATAAAAATCTTTCAAATACGACTATTATTTACTCGTTAGCACGAGATAAAAAAAATTAAACAAAAAATTAACGACAATAGGCCGCTGCTCGGACGTGAATTGATCATGTTGTGACAATCATTGTCGACTAATTGTTCCATTGAAGAGAGTTTAAACAATACTTATACTTATATTTGCATAGATCTACGACTTCTTTGTACATCAAATGGATTGTTTATATTCTCAAAGTCGTTGACCATTGATTCTTAGAAGTTATGAAAATTTGAAATGTAACTACTGAGACAAAATCGAGTATACCTGGACGTCTTTCTTTCATTGTTTCAACTCTGAGGGAAAACTGAAACTATGCACATTTTGAGTAAACATAGCAATTTGTTTCTTGTCCTATAATAACTTTTTTTTTATAAACATACAATAATTAATTTTGTAGTTTGATAGATTGCCTGATGGTAGATATGATTCGGTCAGCTACTAAAAAGCAACACAAAGTTTTATTTAGAAGGTAAGTAATATATTCCAGATCATATGGCTTAAAGGACCAATTTCATGTGTCAATTTGTCATGGCGTGCCACGTCCATTCATGGAATGTTTATATAAAGCAAGACCAATACCAGGTCTGGACATGCGTTGATGCATTAAATTAATTAAGGTTACATTTATACCGAAGCATAACTGATCATTCCTATTCAGAAAAAAAAAGTTTGAAGATAATTTTCCTTGTACAGTGAGTATTGTAAAATGTCAAACTATCAACAAACAGGAAGTGGCTGCACGGCAGATGTAAAATTATTTTCACTCTACATATCAATATCATCAAGCTACAGACTAAATATAACATAATTCCCTTCCTTAGAAATTTAGAAAAATTTGACGAAAATATTCCTTGTACAAGATTGTTGTAAAATTTCAAACTATTGGCAAACATGAAATGGATGCACTGCAGATGTAAAAATTGCTTCCATGCTTCAACTTCGCATTATCAAGCTGCATTTCATATATAAAATTATTTCCTTCTTTAGAAGCCAAGCATGTTTGACGAACTTTTTCTACCTTACATCTTTCAATCAGACGGACGAACCGACAGAAGACAGCGTTGAACTGATACTAGACCTTCTTTTACCTTTGGCGACGAAAGTAAAAACAGCTGCTTTCAATTAAAAAAAAATAAAATATCCATTCTATTGTCAGCACGTAAACGACAAGTTCCTGTAGCTCAATCAACAGATATCATTATTTCTACTAATATGATTTGTTGGATAACAGACAAAACAGTAATGGTTCATTCTTACTCAAATAGTTGCGACATTCTACCAGATACTGTGGATTCATTTATTTTTGACGGTACCAATTTTCGTGGGTTGAGAAATGGCTGTATTTTCGTGGATATTTTATTTCGTGGTTTTGCCGAAGACTGCATACAAACCTATAGAAAATTTGCAATTCGTTGAACATTTAAATTCGTGGTTCACCTGTACCCACGAAATCCAAGAAAATTGGTATCCAACGAATAATGATGAATTCACAAATAGTCGTGTTTTTGTTTTGTTTCACTTTTGCTTCCCCGAACATCCCCGTTCAATAATTATAATAAGTTTATAACAATGTCTTTATCTATACTGTTTTAATGTTACATAGCAGATAGTTTTTATTTTTTTCTTATGTGTATAATTTTGTAATGAGCAATTACACTCTTAATATCTTGCTTCTTTATACACTTTAAAACAAAATTAGACCGATTAATGGCAAATCCTTTTCATTTTCTTCAAAATAAGATTGTTAAAGAAATAAAGCTGGAAATGGCTTTTTACAGTGAACTTCTGCTATAGAATTTCGCTATTGTTATGGTTTTATATTTTTTTTTTCTGAAATGGTTCCTTAAAGGATAATGCTTTAATTTGCATATTTATTTCGCAAAAGGTATATAGAGACAAAAAGCCCATTTCAGCCTTTGGAAAATTCCCAGTACACAGAATATATTTATTACGGTATTAACAGGATAGTTTGCAGTGCTCTTTATTTTGTAGGTTTGAATCTATTTCCCTGAGATTGATGGCAAACTGGTTACAGATTGGACTTTATGGGCAGTTAACGGTAATTGGTGTTCTCTAACCCTGATGAAAAAAGAGTGCATGGAACAACTTATAATTCTTTTTAAAAAAATATATTACACGCGTTATTATCTACAAAACGTTGTTTTATATATGATACTTATAAAGTATGAACTGGAAAAGAGATATTGAATGTTTAAAAAAATCTTGAGTGACCTAATGTACTCCAGAAGGTAAAAGCACGTTGAATCATCTTGACGTTCTTGACGAGGAAAAACCGGCAATGATTTACATTCGATATGATATTTAGATGAAAGAGGTAAATGGATTCTGGCTACTACAATCACAGTTTGATGGCCACATTTAAAAAATCATCAAAGAAACTAGGCTTATAATTTTTTACGCAGACGCGTGTTTCGTCTACATTAGATTCACCAGTCGCGCTTGAATTACAACAGATTGAAAGCCACATTAAATACGAAGATGAAGAGCATTACAAATTTAAAAAATCCAAAACGTTGCAGAATACAGAGGAGAAAATCTATGCCCGGATGGGGGGGGGGGATATTATTGGGTTGTTTGAAAAAACTTAATGTTTCGAATAAGTCAACATTATATAGTCAGCTAATTTCCAGAAAATGAACATATTTAACACGGTTTATCCCCAAATCATAGCAGGATTCCGTCCGTATAACCTAAAGCATTCTGAGTCTTTGGTTCAGTAGTTTCCTTGTAAGTAGAACCCTCTCGGGGAAATCTATAGAGGAAACGCAAGATCTGGAATATCGTTTCAACAAGTAGATACAATTTAAACTTTACTACTTGAATTTTAAAGGTTCAAAAGGGAATATCTAAACTGTGTAAAAAAATTGCTTTCTAGACTGAATATACCATATGAGTATTCAACCAGTATTATTTTCCTTCTTTTCTAAAATTTTGGATATCATTAAATAATCCACTGCTCATTTTTTGTTTCAATATTCTCTATTGATGTCCAGTAGCATAGAATAAGAAAAACAATAGTTGTAAATACATACCCAGTGAAGTTTGGGATTATTTTCCCCTAATGTTGACATAGATGGAAGACTCACAAAGAAACGAGATCTGGTTCGTGAACAAAATAATGCATGCATCATCCTCATGGAAATTCACACTCAGTCAAAATGGCACAATCGGGAATAGGACTCGATCGATAAATTACAAATGTGGCGATTTCAGATGTGCCATTGTCCAATTCTCAGCATTAGCATACCATCTGCCCTATCGTTTTCTGGATCTACCTTTTCAGAAACGTTTAGGTCAGAGTCGAATATTTGAAAGCCAATTCTTCATTCACAATGGATCTTATCATTCAGAAGCACTTTTTAAAGCATGTTCATCCTACCTAGATGAACGGCGTAATGTGTTTTCTTATCGCGTTATACAAAATAAAAGTCACTGTTTTTCAGGGAGTCATATAAAAGCATAAGTATTACCATAATAAATATTTTCAAGAATAATCCTAAATGATATCATTTTATTATTAAAAAATCCAAAAGTGCTTCTTAGGAATGAACAATGTATGGATGGTTATTTACATCTTTATCCTTTGGTTGATGATGGATAGTTATCTGAAATTGCAATTATATCACATCTTGTTACTCGGAAAAAAACGGTGGCATGTGAACTTTTAGGGGTAAAATGATTTAGTCGTGGAAAGCTTTGTTTCAATTGAAAAAAAAAATTTCAGCATCAAAATTGCTATTCAACATACTAGCAATCAAGCCTGATGTAACTTTTGTTTATCAAATTAGTTGTAATGTAACTGGATGATTATATTGCTTAATTACAGTCAAATTGTGGAATGCAACTGTTCATGCTGTACAAAGCAGTGAAGACAATTGTTGAAATGGCACCAGTAGATGCACTCACTTCTAATTCAAAGAACACTATCGCAGAGGAAAAACTACTTAAAATGAGGATTGAGCATCAATCTTTTGTAAGAAAATTCTAAAATTTAGTAATTACATGATTTGTTTATTATAGGATAAAAGGTATGATAATGCAATTACAAAATCTGAATTGATTTTTAGATATATATATATAATTTTGATTTAAGAAAAAAGTGAAATATCTTTTCACTTTTGAACCTTTAATGTTAACTTTGTCAACATGCCTTTATTCAGATTTCAGGATAACAATAAAATGTTTTCTATTTAAATGATCATATATGAACCGTGTTTACTGAAAGTCATATAAAACGAGTTTCTTGTAATTTTAATTTTATCAAAATTATTGAACCAATGCCTGCATATTTACTAAACTAAGTCATGTATGCACCTTTTTTTTTACATTTATTACGAATCTATAACGTATAACGTATGACTGATAAATAATATGTCATTCAGTGATTGTTGATCGCAAGCCAATTAATTTTCCAGTTTGTTGCCAAAGTTTACTGGATGGTGACATTGATAAACAATCAACACAGAGCATGTGAAAAATAGAGCCATGATATTTCTTTTTTTTTTATTTGCCATGCGTTTCCATTTTTTAATCAAACTTTTTTTAACAGTTGTTTAATGATTAAGTGTATTTATTTTGTTCTTTAAGATTCAGTTATTGCTAATTATCTTCCACATGTTCCAGTGAACGTTTGTTTACATTCTTTCATAACGGCTTACCTTCGCACTTGCGCTGTGCAATGGCCGAAGTTCTAACGAGAGGTCTCGTAGTAAAGGTCACTGCATACGGGAAAAAATCGGCGACTTAGATTACGGGAACATAATAATTCAATAGCAATAGATTTTTAAAGATTTTGATAAAAGTATTTTCTTTTACGTGAAAGTTCATGTACGCTTGTTTTATAGAAAAACTTAGCCATTCAAGTATATAAAACATATTCAACTTTTTTTTATTTGAAGTTTTATATGACTTTGAAGGAACGAATATATTTAGTGAAATATTTTTTTTCAAATAACTATAAATATATTGTTTATTCAGACATTGCAAATAGATTTGAATGGAAATATTGACCAGCGTTATCCTGTTAAAGTTCTTGACTGTGATACCATATCACAGGTGAAACAGAAATGTTGTGAACAGATTTATAAGAATAAACCTTCTTCAAAGATACCACACAATAATGAACTTTCTTTAGGTATGTAGTTCTTGTCAAGAAACCATAAAACTGCATTTACACGTATCTAAACAAACATATGCAGTATAACACATTTTTTTTTCTGCGCAAATTTGAATTTAAGTAGTCGCAAATTAATCACCTAGAACTGATACACATAATTAGATAATTGTTTTAAGAGTTAAAGATAGTCATTGCTGTAGTATGACTTTAAAACAGATTAATTATATTTGTAAACGAGAGCGAAGATGCCAAGGAGGAGGGGGGTAAAAGATTTGAAAAGACTAATAACAATAACAAAAACACTACAAAGCAAACTGAAGATTGAACAACTGGAGCCCCTTACAAAATCTGGGATTGAACTAAAGTGCTCCGGAAGGTAAGAATTTCCTGCTCCACTGAAGCCACACGTCGCGTTATTCATTGCAAGTAACCCTTTTGCTTAAACACATGTAGCCGTTCTACTGGAAAATAAACTCTGTGATAAACATACGAACAACTTGCATTCAACTTTTGGAAAGACATTTCCCCCCTGAATGTGACCTACCGAATTAGTCTGATTACCAGGTTTGTACTAACATGAACAACACGACGGCTGCCACATGTGGAACAAGATCTGCTTCCGGAGCATCTGATATCACCCCCATTTTTGGTGGGGTTCTTGTTGTTCAGTCTTTAGTTTTCTATGTTGTGTTTTGTGTACTGTTGTTTGTCTGTTTGTCTTTTTCTTTTTTAGCCATGGCTATACACCTTATCGCTAATCCCGCTTGACCCGAGAATCAGTCCCGCTCGAACTTTTGACGTCATACAACAATCACTTTTCCATTGTGGCGTCAGATATTTTCTATTATGACGTCAAAATTTTACGGGAACTTGTGTGATGTCCAGTAATGGCGGACAAATAGCGATAAGGTGTATTCAGTTTATTTTTGACTTATGAGTTTGAATGTCCCTTTGGTATCTTTCGCCTGTCTTTTATCATAATATAGGTTAGCAAAGAGTATTAACAAAAATCGGTGTTTTTCTACATATACATGTATAGTTTCGAGATAGTAAAAAATATAAAAATGAGCACAGTTGTATATAGATGGACAGTAGTTTGAACATATAATTCGTATAAATAGACGATAATAAACTAGGTAGCTCTGGGGTGAACAAACTAAAAAAGTTTTTAAATACCACGTACACATCGTTCAGAGATTAACCATAAGTCAATAGTCTTGTCATCACATAGCAAGTTCTTAATTAGATAACATTGCCCTCCATTTGAAGAGGCACACATAATTCATCTGAAACAATTAGAATTGCCATTATGTTTCGTTGACAAAAGGTTTCATACATGTATAAATGTTTTATTGTTTGTTAAATGTTGTGCTGATTACAGGTTGTTGATCAGTTTAATAGCACAATTTGTGTGTTGTTTTTTTTTTTTTTTTTTGTAAAAATCATATAGTGCCCCTGAGATGTCTTTTGATTTGTTGTGCCATTAGGTTCCTATCTCATTTACATACACTCTTCCACACCTTATTTCAACATGAAGTTGAAGAGAGTGCAACTTGGTGATGATTTTCAGGTTTTCATGATATTTCATTCTTCTTTGTTGTAACTAAAATATAAGCTTGCTTTTTTAAGAATTGCTCCTATTTTTACTTCACTAAAAAATTTACAAATTTTAGTTTCACGATATTACCTATGAATATATATATTTCTTAGAGTGGCAAGAAGGGAGAGCTGGAAAACTTACACTGAATGACATTGATAACACTAGTGAAAAGAACAATGGATTGGTATGTCTGAATACCCTTAAACATTATATGGTTACAGACAACAGTAGAATGGCTCTGATATACAAGCAACATGACGACCAGACTGTCAACGGTAAACATGTGTCTTAAAAAATTGCAAACTTGTTTAATGTGATTTTGAGCACTTGATATTATGCTATTATTATATTGTATCATCACATTCTGTTATTATATCTATGTAAGTTGAAATTGAAAACCCACAAATAAAGTTCTAAAGTTGTGATTGATATCGAACCCTTCGTTTAAAAATTTTCAACGTGGATCGCAATGATAAGCATACTAATTAATATAAAGCATTTGTTACATGTGTCAATAAATAACAATCAAATCAGTTTAAGGGCATCCGATACAGTTTCAAGGGAGTTAACTATTAGCGCGACGTTAAAGCGTTCAAAATCCCGCAAAACGTCACTTTCGGTTGGACGTCATGCGTGTAATTTTATTCCGTAATAGAAAATACCGCTTGAACAGTTTTTAGTTTAAACGATGCTCGAACTTATGTTTCTTACACACGTCAACTTCTATGCCTTTAAGATGAGTGCTTTTGATTCTAACATTTTGATATATAAAATCATAAGAAATTAAACACTTATTACTGTTTCTGCTGTTCCTCGTCTAGAAGATTATGTGAGGTCTTGAACAATGAAGTCAACAAAATATCGTATAGTCAGTATTCTTAAGACGACTGACTATTTTGGTGTTAACATAATGCATGCCAATTATCATTTTTATTATCATTCATTCCTGATCGAATTTTGATTTGGATCCGATTTTCTGACAGCACACAACAAATAGTTTTACGGCGCATTTTAGTAACAGGCGAAGTCAATATTTATTTGTGTCAAATTTCATATCGAAAGTTCAGATAACGCAAAAATCCAGGTTTAATCATTGTAATTCTTCATCAACATTTCAAAAGAAGTGAATTTCCTCACGGAACATTTTATTCCATTCATTTATTTCAAATATGAGAGGACGCAATGATAATAGTATGCCGCAATTATTAGCGAGTATACAACTTTTATAATAATATATAGTAATTAACTAACAAAATCACGCTGTAATGAAAGTATTCCGGTTTTAAACCATCTTGAATTCTATCCTAATTCTATCCTATTTTGGGGAAATTTCAGAAACTCAAATGTGACGTCACTTTTTTTGCGTTGATCTCTTTGGCTAACTCGGCTGTGAATTTTTATGTGCTGGTTTATGTTGTTTTATGTATCCGTTTTTATTCTGTAGTTAGTCACCACTTCGGTGTTATCATGTATATCTATTATATAGTCATTTTTATAAATTTACTGTTTGCAAAAGTATGAATTATTCTAAATACTAAGGATTTTCTTATCCCAGACATATAACCTTAGCCGTATTTGGCACAACTTTTTGGAACTTTTGGTCCTCAATGCTCTTCAACTATGTACTTGTTTTGGCTTTCGTACTTTTTTTTTATCTGAGCTGGTTAGTATTGTGTGGACGAAACGCGCGTCTTGCGTATTAAATTTTAAACCTGATACCTTTTGTTAGCTATCATTCGTATGTTTCTCTGTCCTATATGTTCTCCCATTTATTTGTATTGTAGTCTGTCATGTAATGTTGTCATTTTAATGTTATATTTAACATTGCCATAAAAGCGGGAGGTTTGGCTAGCCACAAAACCAGATTCAACCCACCATTTTTTTCTTAAAATGTTTTGTACCAAGTCAGGAAAATGGCCATTGTTATATTATATTACGTTTCTGTATGTGTTACATTTTAATGTTGTGTTTCTGTTGTGTCGTAGTTCTCCTCTTATATTTGATGTGTTTCCTCAGTTTTAGTTTGTAACCCGGATTTGTTTTTTTCTCAATCGATTTATGAATTTCGAACAGCGGTTTACTACTGTTGCCTTTATTAATCGAAGTTTTACAAAAAAAATGAAATACTGGTTATTACGAGGAGAATGTATGCCAATATAATAGTACAAAACCAAAAGAAGTAGGACCAGTTTTCCATAAATTTATTATACACTGGTAGTATTTCTTTAAAGGTCTTTAAATCTGTTAAAAAATCGTCACAGCTATACTTTGAGATTCCTACAACATTATATTGTATTTCTGAACATTTATTAACAATATTAGAAATGCTTTAATTGAATTGCTTTAGAATTGTAAATTCAGACGGTATATGTTGGATATTTGGGAGATGAATAAAAAGGACACAAAAACCAAAACCAAAGTTATGAGGGATGCATGTATAGGTAACATGTCCCGTTTTTCAGGTATAAATTGAATCATTTTTCCCAGATTAAAAATTATGAAATATTATAAAGTTTTCTTGAACTGTATTAATTCATCCGAATAACATTTTGATTTTATGAATAAATGTTAAATTATTAAAAGCGATTAAAATGTGTATAAAAGGATGTTTTGGGGGTGTGTCAATGAAACAGCAGCCCACCAACCAAAACAAAAAACATTTAGGGGTCAACATATGGTCTTCAACAATACACGAGTGTATACAGTTCCGACATGTCTAGCTGTAAATTGCCGCGAGTCTTTAAATTAAGCTGTAAAAAATTTCAACAGTCGCAATAACTATACCTGAGATGTTTATCACTTGTAACATGAACAGAATAAAAGAGAGGGGTGTTTATGATACACATTTTTTTATTTCCAAAACAATATTATTATTTTAAGGTAGCTCTTTCAAAGCATTATATAAACACTAGGAACATGTCGCCAATAACCTTGCAGGGATTATTGGCGGGAGACGTCGAAATTGTATGCCAGCAACGTCGTGCATTTTCGCGCTAAAGTTGAGGTAAACAAGGGGGACGCAATTTTTAGGATAAATCGCGATTTATCTTCGAATCCAGCACGGTGACATATATTTTTTTATTTGCTATTTGGAGAAAGCATGACAAAACACAGTTAATGTAGAAAAATGAGAAAAATGACATTATAAGAACCTCTCGATTTCCCCATTTTAAGGTAAAAAAATATCTCACTTTGAGCATCTTATTCGTAATTTTAAGCATGGCTTGAATAATTAACTAGTCATTCTTGACGGGATTTATATTCCCTTATTTTCCCTTATCACAGCTTCAGATTGAAACCAATCTTATCAATTTATGACGAAGAATATCTACTCCAAAATTTTATAACTTTGCTCAGCTTTTTTACTTAAGTGCAAAAACCCCCAATTTTCAGCCTCAATTATCTCGAAAACAAGCACGGTGACCAAGTTTTATTTTGTGATTTCTTTTCTAACTCGTCCAGGGCTACAACATATTTCATAATTATGAAAATGACAATTTAACGTGAAACTGTATCGGATGCCCTTTAAGATTTGAAAATCAGTGAGGTCAGATTTAGTAATAGACTTACATCTTTCTCTTTTTATTGCAAAAGGGAAAATTAAATATAGATAACAAGAAAAAGGTATTTGAGTTTCCATCTTTTTTTCTTCAATACAAACCAGTGAATCCGACAGCGTACCAAGAGGAAAGCCTTATGTCAGAGGATATTACTTTACTCATGCCGGATAACGTCGAATGTGCGGAAGAAGAAGGCCAAAAATGGCACCTGGTAAGTAAATTTATTTAATATTTCTTATGTGTGTTACGTGTATTATTCATATTGATGTTCTAGAAATTACAATTTTATGAGTCACATTAAAGAGGTAAATACTTCAGAAACAAATATTTTTGAAAATAATATATTATATATCGTTAATTCTTTATAGATTGACATGGTGTGTACTATCATTAAAAATGATCATGTTAGTCGTAACTTAATTTAATGTTGGATAAAAAAAAGAGTCAAGTTATTAAATGTCTTGCGTGTATAATCATTACTAGGATGCAATTCTATTAATTTTCAATACAAATTCAACACATTGACCATACTATTGCTTCTGACATAGTAGGTACAAGCTGTCAAAGTCAATTTTACAGACAGCTTGTATTTATTAAGTCGACCATGTAATGATTATACCAGCGCTTCAGAAGTAAGGCAAAAAGAATTTTAATATTAGTTTTGATATTCTATTTTGTTTTTTGTACATGTATTTTTATTGTTTTTACTTATATTGATAATATCTAAATTTTCATTAATTCGTTTATACATCTTAAAATGTGCAGGAAACAGATTTGGTGAGTAATTCATTATACTCATTATTCGCTAGACAAAATGTTTAATGATCGTTTCCATTTAGAATGATGTGATAATTTGATTTCCTGTGCTAGTTCACTCATCCCATCATTTGGTAACGTCGTTGGAAGTTTTTGAGTTATCATACCGACAAATTTCACTTTTTTAAATTTGAAAACTGTGCTATTATAGCTATCCAATCATGTGATTTCTAACAGCATATTGCTTTAAGAACAGTATATTTTGTCTTGCTGTATACAATATTGATCGTCAAAATAATATGCTTAATAATGCATCTAGTTGGGGTTTTTTTTTTTTGGCACTTCATATCCGATATTCCATTTTGCCTTGACAAATGAGACTATGACAATGTTTTACAAGTTTACTATGATCCTTGTTCTTATATTTGATATTCATCACAACCAAAGTCGTACATCAAAAAAATTTATTTTCTAACCCTTCATGTAGACGCCTTATTACATTCAACACTATAGCGAAAACATAATGAATCTATAGTAAATCTGAATGTTGAACTTGTTTAGGAGTTGTACTTGTATTCTAGTCGAGAGAAGGTAACATTTCTTGAGATGCTAGTTGAAAGACATTTCTTCTCAACACTAGCATTGTTTGAACATACTCCTCCTGTACATGATATATCTGTTAACCATCTGTTTACTACACGTATGAGACGCAGAGTGTTACTACTACGAAAATAGATATTCCCTATAACTGTATTAATAACTTCATATATCGCAGACTGAGATTAATGCTTCATACGAATAGGAGGAGTAACATGCATTGATAAAATCGCAATAAGTTTACAGAATTAACAAAAAACATCATCGTTTCTCATCATCATACTATCAAGTAGTAATTTACCGGTTTGTTTAAAATATTTGCCAATTTAATAAATGCACAATGGATACCTTTTGCCATAAGGCATATATATGACTTGCTTTTTTTCATTTTTGTTTTATTAAATTTAACTATATAATTTTATAACACAATACGATGTGTCGTATATTGAACAGATATATCATGTTATGGAGGAGTATTTGCGAAAAATACCAGTCAAGGGACGGTGAAATTTCCCAAGCCGCTAGGCGAGGGAAATTTGGTCCCAAGACTGGTATTTTTCGCAAATACCCCTCCATAACATGATATATCTGTTTAATTACACCGAATAGATTCTGATTGAAACTGTCTGTACATGTGAAGGGAAATCGTCGTACCGCGGGAATTATACATGTACTTATACGCGTTAGTGCTGTCTTTTTGTAACGTCATGGTATCTATATGTGTAAACTTCATTGTTATACCATCATTAAATCGTTCATTTGTATAGACATTTTTTCCCCCTCTTTATATGTATATTTCTGACAGTTTTCGATTTAACTCAATCAATACTGTTGATTCATTATTATTCGTTGGATACTAATTTTCGTGGTTTTCGTTGGTACAGGCGAATCACGAATTAAAATGTTCAACAAATTAAACAACTGTATAGGCTTTGTATGCATAAATTGGTAAAACCACGAAATCAAATACCCACGAAAATGAAAGTTTTCCTCAACCCACGAAAATTGATACCCACGAAAATAAATGAATCCACAGTAGTGCTTAACCATGTTGTCGGGATAAAGTGAGAAAGGTTCCGAATAATTTTGGCGGGAACTGGCTCGCGAGGGTAAAAAAGGAATATCCAAAATGGCAAATACCACGGCAGAGAGGGGAATTTGAGGCAAATTCACCGGCAGTGGTGAAAAACAGGCAAATTCGTTTAAAATGAGGAAAAAATGTTAGAATATACGAAAAATACACTGGCTAACAACCAATCAAAATACAGCATTATTACACAAGGTGGAATTATGATTATTAACTTAAGTTTATTTCGTATTCTTTGAGCTATTATCATCCGATTTCTGATTTGGATGTGCTTCTGTCTACTTTAGATCAACTAGGGGGGTATATGTAAATGCTAATAATGTATTTTCTAGTCAAACCTACCAGGTGAAGAGTCTAATAGTGATGCAGATTTTGGTGACATATTCCTGAATAGATTGTTTCTTACCAAGGTAATATAGTATTTATTGTCCAAAATACAATCAGTATTGAGCTTTTAATCGGGTTCAGTAAACGCTCAAAAACTATTCAAATTAATTTTTTGTACATGTGTGTACACAAAACACATTTATAAATCCTATTCAAATAAACATTTATAAATCATATTCAAATAAACATTTATAAATCATATTCAAATGAACATTTATAAATCACATTAAAAAAACATTTATAAATCATATTCAAATAAACATTTATAAATCATGTTCGACTTTTGGCACTTTTTTCAGCTTCCCAATTGTAAACTTTCCATTTCTATGTAGCAATATTCCAGCAGCACCTGCACGCGGAGTATCTATCTCCCAGTTGATACGATATTTCGGGGCATGTATTTCCTATCATGATTAACCGTTATGGAATATCCGTTTCACAAATGACAACGGATATGTTCCAATTGTCGTAACTATTATCCCGTACCATTTCTCCGAATGTGACCTACCAAATTAAACTTATCACCGGGTTTGTACTAACATGAGCAACACGACGGGTGCCACATGTGGAGCATTATCTGTTAACCCTGAGCACCTAAGATCACCCCATTTCTAAGGGGTTCGTGTTGCTCAGTCTTTAGTTTTCTATGTTGTGATTTGTGTACTGTTGTTTGTCTGTTTGCCTTTTTCTTTTTTAGCCAGTGCGTTGTCAGTTTACTTTCGACTTGTGAGTTTGAAAGTCCCTTTCGGATCTTTCGCCTGTCTTTTAAATGCTACAATATTATTGTCTTCATTTTCTCACATTATATCTGAGTTTATCCTTTACAATATAATTTTCTGAAAACATGCTAATAATCAAAATGATACTAACAATGTATTCAAGAAGTTTTAAAGGATAAATGAGGTGCACTGATTCGAACTATGTAATATATGTTTTCTTCCAAGAAATATTGTTTTTTATTTCATTTCTGATACGAACGCTTTGGGTTAATAAACAAATGTTTCAATACTTTAATAGTGCGGGTTTTGTCAAGAGAAGAGTCAAGTGGAGGAATTTGATCCAATGAAACTTCATTTTTAGTTCAGGGCAATCTTATTTTACATGGACTGAGGTATAAAAATATTATCACCTGGATTTGTCCCTTTCGGGTGTAAAATCCAATGTTGACGGAGCGTCTGTTTGGAATTCAGTATTAATAGATGCATAGGCTTGGCAGGTCAGAATGGGAACATAAGACAGTATCGGACTCATATACAGCGTAAATTCTTTTTTTCTAATTGCAGTCCAAATTTCCCTTCAATAACCAGGTTGATCACAGCTTTCTAATTGGATCATGTCTATTGAGCGCAATAATATCTACTCAAAGCAGGGTCGAGTTCAAACGGAACAGTTTCCTCTGCCTCACTAGTAGAATTCGTCTTATTTCTAACATGTAGGAGCCTGGATAAATCGGTTATTATTTTTTCTTCAAAGACAAAAAGTTAACCAATATTATAAAAGCATGTTGTTGTCAAGACAAATGGTCATTTATCATTGCCAAATAAAGCTTTTTTACTTAAAAAAAAACTTGTTTCTTTCAGCTGCTACTTTCGGAATGCATTGATACTACTTTTGAGAGTTTATTAGATCCACAATCATTGTCCATACCAATTCGATACTTCATCGGTATGATGGATAAACTTGGAAAAACCTATGGAGTAGAACAAGACGTTCTGCAGTCATGGAAAAATGAATGGTGATTGTTTGACTCTTAATCATAGGAAAAAATATTTTATAAGCTATGGTTTTAGCATTTTAAACTTGCTGAATGTTCATCTAGTCATTGGTGAAAATTGTGCATTTTGGTAGATGTTTTAACTTTCTGCTTTATATGTATACCAAAGATTACGCCTTCTAACGTTTTATTAATTCCTCATCTTATTGTATATGCATTATCCTATTATTAAGAAGTTAAAAATGTGTTTTGCATAATCTTTGGACAAACTTATTTAATAACTTATATCATGGCAATATAATTGAAGTTTTCTCAACCTGTGTTTGTAATTATGTTTTTTTTAGCTATGCTACACGAGTTTGGGCTCCACTGATCGGTAAACCAGACATATTGTTTGATGTTAGTGTGCCTGCTTATGTGGAACCATGTATGGACATTCTCAGACAAGTCTTTGTGGAAAGTTTTACCCAAACAGCCCACAAATTCAATAAGGTTAGAGTAAATATAAACTTTCTAAATCATCAGTGTTTTGAAGACGTCTGATATATGGGATGTCCATTTTTGAGGTTGGTTGAATGGTGAAGGACTCAAATTTTACATAAATCTTTAGCGTCTTATATCTTTTCCTTGACATTGTCACAATATATCTTTTGCATTGTTGGTGATTTTGATATATCAGCTTGTTCGGAATTAACATTACTTATAATTTGAAACCGTTTGTTTGAAAGGGTTAACGGAAACAACGTGCTATTCATTTTTTGTTTGTTTCATGTATTAAAAAAAAATAACAAAAATACCAAACGTTCCAAATATTTATTATATGATTGATGAGTCGTATCGTGCCTTTTTTTTTATCATATGGCTTAATTATGAAATGTGAGTAAGCATCAAAATTATAAATGCATGGCCAAAATAAAAATAAAAGACAAAAAAGGCATACAAAAGTCTAAAAAATGGCCACAAAAAAGTACAAAGAAAAATCATAGTCAGGGTGAACGTGAGGAATATACTTAAATTTAAATACAATAATAATTTTGAATACATTTTTATTGGAGTTACAGATGATTTTGTGTGGTCTCTATTGATTTTTATGCTTTGGTTTTGATAGACCATATACTTATACATGTTATATGCAATATTGAGAGGTTTAATTAATTAGCGTTATTATTCTTTACATGGGAATTCGTCAGGAATCACCACCACAGAAGTTATTGTTCCATAAAGACATACCAAGATACAGAAAGCTTATTGGTCCTTTTTTCATCCGCTTGGAACCAGTGACTGATAAAGAATTCTGGAGTGAAATGGACGAAATCTCGGATGTAAGTAGTGACATTTTTCGTAGTAAAATTGCAGTGGTAAATATGATTAAGAAAAGAGATACGGGGTATGCAATAGAATCAATGAGAGAAACAAGCAAACAAACACCTAGAGATAAACCAACGATCTTCGTCAGTAGACAGGTGTTTTAACATGTGTCAAGCTCAATGTATTTCAAAGCACCTGTGTATAAAATCTTTTATACAATAATTGACAAAAGCCAATAACTCACGAGGTTCCAATGTTTCATTACTTTAACATTTCCTATGCATTGGCCGTTTAAATCACTTTTAAAATTTAAACAGTATGCCATCTTTAAAACTGATTTGTTTCGATCGTCAGTGATGAGTCTTTTGTAGACGAAACGAGCGACTTGCGTACAAAATTTTAATCCTGGTATCTATAAATGATTTTGTTCCCTGGGTGATAATCGTCAGTAGTATTATTTAGTATTAACACTGTTCGGCTCATTCGCTGAAGTATAATCTCAAAAGAAATACATTAATTTTTTGAATAAAATAATAAATGAATAATTATTTTTTTTAAATACAGCACCATTTTTCAGAGGCGAAAAGGATTTTGAATTCACCACTTCAGAAATGTTCCACAGGTGAAAATGAATATCAAGACAAAATATACATAAAAAAACATATACATGTATATATGGTATATATTTTATTGAGTAATTCAATACATGTGTTTATACATTTCCTTTGTCATCAGTATTGGTTACATTAATATTAAACAGCACTTTACGTTAATTTCAGAAACAGAAACTAGAAATGAGGTTCAGTCGACAATCTGCCCTTCAACAGCTGTATAATTTATTTATTAGGAAATACAAGAGTCAAGTAAGCGATTTCATTGCAAGGCTATGATTGAAAACATTTTGAATATTAATAATATTGTCATATCCATCACTCGGTTAATGCTCCGTTGACTTCATTTTACAAGTTCTTACTTTGTTCTATTGGTCTGACGTCCGAATAAATTGCATTTTAGAGAAATTTGTTCATGAAAATTCTACTTCATGAAAAATATTTGGCTTACAAAATTAGTATCCGTAAGACATATGGGTATGTTAGGATAATCAAATTTTCAATTATTTTTCTTTCGATATGGATTGTTGTTGTTCGTATCAGTTATTTCTCTGTTTCTTTTCAGATTATAAATGATTTGGAGGAAATGGAAGAAGCTACAGACCTTCAACTCGCAAGTAAACTTGAAGAAGTCATTCAATCGATGGATGAATCTTCTGCCACGCGTTAAGTGGTGTACTTCTAATAACAAACAGACTGTAAATAGATATAGCACTTTTTTTAAATACTGATACTGTGAATACATGATTTATAACACAAAAACAACTGTAAATGACGGAAGAACTAATTTCTCACATGGAAGAAATTATGAAATAAACTGGAGTTTTTCACATCAAACTTTTTATTTTGGATTTGTTCCTGACAATTGTATTTTTTTTGTAGATTAATATGTTGATGAATTTACGTTATAGACAAAAGTTGAGCAATACAACTGTACAATTGTCAATAAACAATAGATGAAGTCATATATGAATGGTCTGGATGGGGTTTATAGAATAGAGTATAATGGACCAACAAAATAAAAAATTGTAAAAAAAAGATTTAGAAATTAAAGAACACAGAAATGAAAGACCCCTCGCCCTCCTGATCAGCATGTATTTGATGAGACCAAATGAAGGTTTTTAATAATTTACTCAAATGATAAGCCAGCTTTTACATTTTCAATTGAAGTAATTAGAATGAATTGTCATATTTTTCATTTGTACATTATACTTTGTGTACAGCACGTACACATATACATACTGTTTTAAGTCTTATAAATTATATGAAAGAGGCTTTCCGAACCAAACGACACAACTTTCTAATCTAAATGAAATACTATTTTGACATATTACATGCATTATCTGAATCTTGATGTATTTGCTATTTTTGCCTTCGCTACAGTCAATTCGGAGCCTTTTATCCTGACCAGTTTTTCGTTTGTACATGAAACTACAGGCGTTTGAAACATGTTTTTTTTTTCTTTTTCCCCAGTGATTAGATTAGTTATTTTTAGGGTTATTTTTAATGTCTATGTATTTTCCTTTAATAAATGTGTTCTTGCTCCTATTCATACGATTTTACAATAACAGAACGTGCTGTTGCTCTACTCTTATTTTCCACTTAAGAGCAGAGGAACAACACGTACACACTACTGTTATTGTAATTAAATATGCCGTAAGTAATTTGAAGAATTTAAGATATTTAGATTACGGAAATCTAAACTATAAGTTAACTTAAGTTGATTCAGTGGTCAGTGGATTCTTGAAAAATAATCTACAGTGTGAACAATAGATTGACGTCAGAGAATTTGGTCAATTGTCATTAAAAATGACCCCTGCAGAAAATGAGAGCATTTCACACTGTAGATTAAGGAAAGAATTTTAAAAGTTTTCAATGCCCAAAGCACCTGTGAATGTTTTTTTTTTTACTTCTTGTTAAACAATTCATTGTTATTATTTTACATTATTTTTTTTCATGTCGGGGCCTTTTATAGCCGACTATACGGTATGGGTTTTTCTTATTGTTGAATGCCGTACGGTTGCCTATAATTGCTTACATCCACTTCATTTTAAACCTTGGTGTATAGTTGTCTCTTTGGCAATCATACCACAGCTCCTTATGTTTATATATTTTGTTTCGTAAGGACAAATAAAAAAACGTAAAACATTCTTTACTATGATTTTAACATGTAAGTCAAATTCACTTTATTTAGTTAATCATGTAACAATGATTACCATGTGATTAAAAATGTCAAATTTTAATTTTACAAACTCTTTATTTCATGACACCTTGAATGTTATACCTTATGCAATTTACAGTTAAAGCGACTTTTCAACTTTTGTTGTGTTCATTACCCAGACCATATGAGTGTATACGCATAAGGTCATGACCAAATACGTATCGTTCAAATACTCGTATGTTCCGGAGCAGATATGATATATATTACAGTGAATTTTTTAAATAAGGGATTTTGCATAATCTCTAAAATTTTAGGAGTTTTATATAATCCTAATTTATAATGGAATTTATAAAATCCAAGATTAGTTACATTTTTTTACTAGTGATGTTTCAAGTTCACTAGAATAATTGAGAACTTTTTTTTACAGATTCACGGATTTTAGAAAAAAAATATTTCGCTCCTTATCACTTACATGTTTGATTAAGTACCAGACTTTTTAATTTCTAGGAATTGAAACACACAGTTTATTAAACACCAAATCTATGGGAACGAGAATAAACTTGAAAGTAAAAATGGTTCACAGTGGGTTTTGTTTTCGTTCGTGTTGCTCAATCTTTAGTTTTCTGTTTAACATTTTGTTTTATTGTGTTTCTTTTTGCAAAGGGCTAAATTGTAATCTGTTTTTTATTGGACTTATGATTTTTTTCTCTCTCCTTTGAAAAAAGATGTTTCTATCGTTTTCATTTTATTAAGAAAAAAGATACATTTCTTCTCAATTTACAGGTATTTTATTAAATTCCAATCAATTTAGACTGTGATTTTATTCAATTTCAGACAATTTCAGGTATTTTATAAAATTCCTTAATCTGCGAGCGATATTATAAAATCTCTGAATATTTCAGGTATTTAACAAAATCTCTTATTCTACAAATTAATTGTCACGTAATTATCAATGTGTTAAAGTTGTTTTTTTAATAAATATTTTATTGAAACAAAATGTAAAAATATATGTATAAGATGAATAAAGGTTAAAGAACTTGATAATTATAATTATGCAAAAAATAGAAAAAGTATATTATATGTGATGAATATAATGAATATTGTTTTATTTTAATGTTAATGAAAATTGAATACCCTACAAATAAAGCATCATGTTTATATGATACATATTTTTTAATCAATTGATGATCAAATTGAAAATTGTACAAATAAAAATGATATAAATTTGGCGAATACGGTTTAATTTATATAAATAATAAGATGTGGCAATGAAACAACTCTCCATCCAAGTCACAATGTGTAAAACGTAAACAATTATAGGTCAAAATACTGCCTTCAACACGATGACATGGCTCACATCGAACAGCAAGCTATATCAAAAGGGCTCCAAAATGACTAGTGTAGAACAATTCAAACAGGAAAACCAACGGTCTAATCTTTATAAAAACGAGACACTAGAAACACTTATGAATCACACCAACAAACGAATACTACTGAACAACATACTTCTGACTTATGACAAATCTTTAATATAAAAAGAAGATGTGGTATGATTGTCAATGATACAACTCTTCACAGGAGAGCAAATGACACAGAAATTAACAACTATAGATCACCGTACAGCCTTCAACAATGAGCAACGCTGATACCGCATAGTCAGCTATAAAAGGCCCCGAAATGACAAATGTAAAACAATTCAAACGAGAAAACTATCGGCCTCATTTATGTACAAAAAATGAACAAAAACAAATATGTAACACATCAACAAACGACAACCACTGAATTACAGGCTCCTGACTTGGGACAGGCACATACATACAGAATGTGGCGTGGTTAAACATGTTAGCGGGATCCCAACCCTCCCCCTAACCTGGGACAGTGCTGTTACGGTACAACAAAGGAACGAGCTATAAAAATCAGTTGAAAAAGGCTTAACTCATCAGATGGATACAACTAGAAATACATCTAACAAAAACACAGAGTGGACGTGGCCGGGTACTTGTACATCCCAACAACGAAAAGACACTAAGTACAGATCTGAGAGTACTCGCAGTTACTGACAGCTAATTCAAAGCCAATAACTACTAATAAAAAAAAACCTGCATCTAAGACTAAATTATCTTTCATTACACATCCAACATCCAATGGATTTAGTGTAAAGACGTCATAAACAGTCAGAGAAAAACATGACCTTGTGCAATGCCAAGATACAGGTACCGACAGATTGTAGATCCATGAATGTGCATATGTATATAACAATAATATTTAGTTTGCTTTTAATTTTCTGATAACAAAATCAATATAAATACCAATAAAAATAATATTAAAAGATCTAAAAGTTCTCATTCGTACTAACCCTTACGTATACCGTAGCAAACTGCTGTTTATCCGCAGAACATACGCTCCGACACGTGTCGTTGCGTATTAAACCGTTTCATTTCCGTATTAAAACGTGTCTTTCCGTAAGAATCCATATCACTCATGTCTTCAAATGACCCCTTTCCTACAGTAACCGTGGTAGATACGTCAAAACCCGTAGTCATACCATTGTGCATCCGTATCAGATGCGTATCGGACACGACAACTGCATTTCCGGTATCATTCGTCAGATTTAATCCGTAGTGGAACCGGCGATGTGATTCGTAGATGTGGGACCTAGGCATTATGTTAAAAGTATAATTTATGATTTAATTTATGTCAGCACTCATTGTCTATTAGCTTCTTGCCTAGACTGAAGTCTCTGATGTTTAGAAAAATAAATATGCGCAAGTTCGATCCCTTAATGTGAAACTAGTTTTTGAGAGGTAAAAATATCGTAACTTAAATGTTAAATCATAAATTAGCTTAGTGGTCAGTGGATTCTTGAAAAATATTCTACAGTTGGAATAAAAGACTGACGTCAGAGAAAAAAGTAAAATAACAATATACCGAACTCCGAGGAAAATTCAAAACGTAAAGTCCGTAATCAAATGACAAAATCAAAAGCTAAAACACATCAAACGAATGGATGACAACTGTCATATTCCTGACTTGGTACGGGCATTTTCTTATGTAGAAAATGGTGGATTAAACCTGGTTTTATAGCTAGCAAAACCTCTCACTTGTTATGACAGTCGCATAAAATTCCATTATATTGACACCGATGTGTGAACAAAACAAACAGACATAAAAGTTAAAAATGTCAAAAATAGGGGTACAGCAGTTAACATTGTGTTATTATCTTTATCACTATAAAAACAAAAAAATATGTAACAAAGAAACACAGAAAGGCATATAGACAAAGCACATTAGCAAAAATGAAAAACAAGAATACAAAAATTTACCATAGCACAATAACACAACGACGGGATGTACAGAGCAACGTCAAATGAATATCACCAAAAACAGACTAAACAGTAAAAGTAATATGCATAAAGACAAATAAAAGAATACTATAACACGTTATTAAGATGATAAACAACGTCAGTACCCAGAATCTATACTTCAAGACCATCGATCGTGTATTATTTGTGAAGTTGATACGGAATATTTATCAACAAGGTCTCGATACCTTCCGATGAACTTTTTTAGAAAAATGACTTTGACATACCCCTGGTTCATCAACTTTCCACTCAGACACTGGTGATGTTTTACAAAGTCTTAGTAACAGTTAATTGTTAATTGTTACTAAAAATCACTATTGCAGAAAATTAGAGCATTTCACAGTGTATTGTGAGATGAACCTGGGTTTTTTCATACAGTATATATCATGGTTCAATTTTATGATCATATGTTTTAAGTGTACTTTTATTATGACGTGTAGGATTTCCAGTACATGAAATAACTAAGTGTATTTCTTCTTTGTACTTGCGTGTTTATTCCATCAAAAATCAACCCATAATTGAAACCGGTCGTATGATTTATACAATATTGCAATTATTACAAAAGTATAGAGTACATTGAAAGGGTCCGACGACTTACAGAAAAGGACACAAAAAGAACCGAAAAGAAAATCGATTTTTTATATATATTTGATATGTAAACGCCTTAATCTGATACACGTGTAATACCACCAAATCATAGTACGTCACAACCGGAAGCATCGAAAAAGGGTCGAAAAAAATATTCCCTTGAATTTGACAGTTGTAGGAAATTAATCATACATTTCATTGCAGTAAAACATATCTGAGTCATAAACACATATCTTGGGTGTTTCAAAGCACCATTATTTTTTTATTTGGTATTTCTATGGAATATTTAAGAAACTTGAGGTTACATGGTTACTAACGCTTGTACACAGCAAAAAAAAAGGATGAAAATTTGATTTGTTAACTTCCAGTTATGGTTAATTTCTTATATGCAATGAAATGTTATGTGAAATTTTGTTTATAGTGCTGGACAAGATAAAACTTTACTCATGCCAAGTATTTCTTTATTTGAAACAAAGATGAATTCTGCACAATTTTTTTAAAAGTGCAAATTTAACAAAGACTAATAGGGGAAAATCAATGGTGGTATTACACCTACAGGGAAATTCAAAGTATTTTAAATAAAACAGCATTCCGAACAAAAGCCGTCAATCGAAATTTACCGTCTAAATTTAGCAATGTTCACAATTGTGTGCCGCTGCAGCCAGATTATTAAACAAAATTCACGTGGATATCCACAAACAGTCATGTGCAATGCCCGAAAATAACACACCTGCTCATGATTATCTTCTACTTATACTGTTAGGTCAACAGTGAACGGGTGAGCTTTTCTTTTGGTATTTCGGACCCAAAATTCCAAAAGGTTTTGTCAAATACAGCTAACACTACTCTTTTTCTGGGGTAGAAAAAAACACAGTTTATGGCCAACCTCAGTTAAAATTCCGTCTTAATTCCATTTAACTCATAAATTCAACAACACACCGTTATCTGGATGATATTTTTTCGTTATATAGTCAAGAATTCTCTTAAAATACTGACGAAATTTACCCAAAATAACTTACTTTAAAGAATTCAAATATAAACATCAAAAACTGTCCTTTTCTATATTTAGATATTTCAATTTTACATGGGAAACAACACAAACACATACGACAAAAGGGACGATGTTTTGTTCCCTATTATCAAATTTTATTTTTAGGACGGTGATTCCTTCTGCTTACGGTGTTTATACATCCCAACTCGTTCGCTATTCTTGTGTCTGTCGTGACGTTTTTGATTTCAATAAACACAATCTATGTATTTCTGGTAAATGATAAATTCAACGATTCCGTTACCGTAAATTTCTTAATACCTTTACTAAATTCTTTTATAGATAAGCAGTCTTAGTTGTAGAAAATTTTTGTACAAACGGGAAAACAGATTCTAATTTTACAGTAAAATTTGTTTACCGAGCCCGTAAATTTAGATACGATCCGGGTAAACTTAGCGATCTTTTGAATAAACTTATTCTAAAAGGTTACAAATTCTTCACCGAAATTAGATCTTTGAACATTGCTTTTATCAGTAAAATTATTGATTTGTTACCAATAAATTAAAACCCAACTAAATAGGATTGTTATATTGAATAATATTTCATGGATAAAGACAATACATGAAGAAACTTTATACAGAAATCTCGAGTTCAAAGCGGTACACATTAGAAAAATACAAAGCAAAAATTTTCCTAGTTTACAGATCAAGTATAGTATGATCCGTTTTCTAATTGCACAGACATCTTTTTTGAATATGCAAATAAAAAATATGTAACACTTGCATGATTTCTATACGGGTAAACAAATATTGCTCCTTATCCTACATCAGTTTTTCATCGATCAAACTTTTTGTTGGCAATTTTCCTCCATTTGTCTTCAAAGATTTTACTTAAGTAACGAATTGATACATGTAACCTATAAGATTAAGTATATTCAAAAGATCGAAAAGTTTACATGGAGTTTTATTTAAAGTTTAGCCTTTATAAACAACAGCATCGTTAAGAATTGGATGTGGTATTCCTTGATAAGGTTTATACAGGTACAGTCAAACTTCCGAACCAAATCTTTGTAACAATGAATCATGTGAATATAAGTTGAATTTAATTTCAAGCTTCCTAAATAAAATACACCTTTTACTGAACAGGCTGAAGATATATATAAAAAAAATAAGAAGATCTGATATGATTGCCAATGAGACACCCATCCACAAGAGACAAAATGACATAGAAGTTAACTATATGACATCGTACGACCTTCAAATGAGAAAAACCCATACCGCATAATCAGTTAAAAAAGGCCTGTAAATGACAAATTTCAACATTTCAAAAGAGAAATCTAACTGCCTGATTTATGTACAAAATAATGAAAGAAAAACAAATATGATAAACAGCAACAAATGACAACCACTGAATTACAGACTCCTGACTTGAGACAGTCACATATAGAATGTAGCAAGGTTAAACTAGGTCGAAGGGCACCAACCCTCCCGTAAACTGGGACGGTGGTAAAACAGTACAACATAAGAAAAAATTGTAAAAATCAGTTTTAAAAGGGTTAACTCATCATTTTGATACAAAGCAAAAAAACATCTACCAAAAACACAGATCGGACGTGGCAGGGTATGTTTATCTCAACAAAAAAGACACTAAATACAGATCTGAGAGTACTCACAGTTACTTACATTTAGTTCAAAGCCAATATAACAAGAAAAATCATGCATCTAGGACTAAAATATAAATCAGTATATATGTATATTTATGGATACCGATGGTGTTGATTCCTGTGGCGGATCTAGAGGGGGCGCGTAGAGTTTGTACGCCCCCTTTTTAATCGCAAAAAAAAAATGTATTATATCATGTTTTCAACGATTTGTTTGATTTTTAGCATTAAACCGTCCAAAATTTTTCGCTTCGCTTCGTTCGGCAAAAAATAACCCTTTTTATGGAATTACGCCCCCTCCCTTTTCAAACATCATGGATTCCATCTTTATTTTTATATTTGTGTAACCAAAATTTTAATTAATTGTTCCATATGAAGGTACAATATGTAAAGGTGCTCAGAATAGTATATAATATCAATTTGCGTTTCATTTTTAAAAGTTTTGAGAATTACAAGGCCTGTTTTGTATTTTTTTACCTGTGAGAAACTTACTACAAGGTTTAATGGACTGTAAACAGGGAAGTAATTTGTTTGCCCTGCACTTCTCTATAAGGAAATTAAGGTAGCTAAGGTTTCTGGCATCATGATTAAACATCGATCTTAATACGGATTGTATCGTGTCAAATCGTTCTCATACATAAAGGTAGGAATCATAAAGATTACACTTTCACAGTATTTTTTGGGTTCTAAAAAATAAAAAAAAAACTTTACACGCTTAATGTGATCATAAACATTAGAAATTATTTGATAAAAAATTACCTGGTTTATCTATAAATTTGATACAGGTAGAAATCTAATCATGTGGTTACTTTATGTTTGTAGAAAAAAAATATTATTTATCTAATTAAAATTAGCTGTATATGTACATTTTTAACGTCTTTTATTGATGAATCGATTTTGACCTACATTTGAATCTTTTGTGTTGAAGTGATTTATTTGCCTCATTGAGATATATGTAGTTTAGGGGATTTTTTTCCCATACTTCACATGTATATAGGTCTATTTGATAATTGTCTTCTCTTTGGAAAAGCTATTATTAAATTGTAAAACTCTTTTCATACCCGTTGAAAGAATTTCTTTTGACATTTGATAATAAACTAGACAAAAAACGATTTTCATATTTCTTTCAGACGTTAATAACTAAATTTTCATCTTAACTATGGTTAAAAAAAAGGAAGTAAATTAATCACAATTTGTAACACAAAATTCAATCTGATTTATTTGAAAACATAACTAATAGAGAAAAATGATGGACTACGAAAGATGCTCATATACAGTTAACTGCTTAACTGCTTCATCTTTTTTGTGTAATCTATTTCTCGTACGCTTTTCAACAAACTTCATAGAAATATTACACACATAATGACTTTTGGCAGCTGCCATTATGAAATTGTTTGTTGACTGTAAAAAAATCATTTCCAATGTTGTGTCATGAACTCGTCCTACAATTTTTAAACCAGATCACAGAAATATTTCACTTGCATTGAAGCCATTTCCGTATTTCCAAATATATATATATTTATTAGAATCAGTTATCATTTGATGAATAAGCATTAGGTTTAACTCAACCATTTCAATCTTTGATCCAGTATTATTTTGAGGAAACAAAAGATACTATCAACAGAATCACTAAAAATTAACTATAAATTAACTATATGATATAACTATGATAGGGGAAAGGAAATTGAAGGAAAGTGCTAAATTATTTTTTCTAAATCCTCTGTCTGAACTCTGCTTCATATACGAATAACGATAGATTTCCACGGGATAATTTTTATCTAGATTGAAAATAAAGTAAACGAGTTCTTTTGGAAAGGTTAAGCTATGAATTACTGGCAATTTTAGAAATGTCATCTTTAATTATAATGCAAATTTTGCGTAATTATCTAAATAATCCTTTCATAGAATCGACCTCCGATTCATAAAATCTGGTAGTTTCACATAAAATGTTTTAAATGTGTGCAGTTTCTACACCAAGAATATAAAATTTCATTGTTAAAGGGCTTACACAATATAATATCCAATGAAAGTCAAGCTGTATCATATCATATGTTATAAATGTCGCAAACAAAAGAGAGATCATTTTAAATTAATGTCGATGTCTAAAGACATTTCGTTTTATATATAGAGTATTCTAAATACAAATAGGTCAACATTAAGGAAACATAAATATCCAGGATCATATTTAATATCAACCTGTCAAATATAATTTTTACGGAAGCCCATTTAGGACCTTCCAAAAATGTAATTTGAATTCGAAATCCCGAATTTAAATCGTTTTCACAAATTGTTTGTTTCGATATCACAGATTAAATTTGTGATAACGAATTTGTGGAAATCGTTATTACAGATTTTGTGATTCGTAATTACGAATTAAATTCGTTTTTACAGTTTTTTTGTAATTCGTTTTAACGAATTAAATCGTGATGACGAATTGTATAATTGGCTATAACGGATTATATTCGTGATAATGAATTTGGGGAATTAATAATCACAGTTTTTTTGTAATTTGTGATTTTGGATTAAATTTATTATCACAGATTTTTTGCTCACCTGGCCCAAAGAGTTAGGAAAAGGTTGGCGCCTTTAAACTAGTTTAACCCCGCACATTCTTTATATCCCTGTCCCAAATCAGGAGACTGTTATTCAGTGGTTGTCGTTTGTTGCTGTATATCATATTTTTTTCGTTCGTTTTATTGTTCATAAATCGGACCGTAAGTTTTCTCGTTTGAACTGTCTTACATTTTTCATTTCGGGGCCATTTAAAGCTGATTATGCGATATGGGTTTTGCTGAATGTTGAAGGCCATACGGTGACCTTAAGTCCTGAATTTCAAAGTCATTTGTTCTCTGGTGGAGAGTTGTCTCATTGGTAATCATACCACATCTTCTTATTTTTATATTTTCTCTTCACTTTGCGTCCGTCGTTGTTCGTTAACTTTTACAAAAATCTTCTTCCCTGAAGCCTGATGGCCAAATTGAAACAAACTTGGCCACACTCAATTTAGTTTTTACACATTTTATTTGCAAAATTAGCAAAAGGTATTAGATACAAATTGAAACAACATTAGTGATGTTATCTCCATGTACAAATATAAACACAAAAAAAATTATACCTAGCCGAGGTTATTGTCGTGTAAACCGGGTGGGTTAACTCACAAACTGGTATGTTAAGTTGGTTTGCCAGCGACCCAGTTTAAACATCAATAATCTTAAGAAATAAAACGTGTTTAATCCTCACCATTCTGAACTGATACATTTTTATTCATTATTTTTCATTTAAACTCTCTTTAGGCCGGGGAATTTCATTCGTGTGTATCGCGCATTAATATATTTGACACAGGAAGTTGTCTCGGCAACACGAAGATCTAACAGACTAATCACATTTGTTGATTTGCTAATGATTGAAACATTTATTTGAAAATGACGGAAACATAGTAGGAGTGCATTAAAATCAAAAACAAACAAAGGATATAAAGAAGAAGAAAATAGAATATAATGTCACGGCATAAGTAGATAAGGCTAAGGCTAGCATGAAGTGAAGTGAGAGAAATAAATTAGGGTATCTAGTTTAAAGAATGTGAGCGATGATACCGCCTGCCAAACAACATGGCCGACATGGCTTAACATAGAACATAAGGGTAAAATACAAGTTTTCTCTTGATAAAGAATTGTTTAGAATGACGAGATCTACCTGCTGCCTATTTACGTCAACATTGTTAGAATCCTTATAGGAGTATTTTTCCTTTATTGACATTTTCTTTTAATGTGTGTTTTGTCTTTTATTTAATTTGGAAATTATAATAGAGAAAAACTCTCAATCAATTATCATAGCGAATATGATCAAAAACAAGTATTTTATTGGCACTACATATATAAAATTTTAAGGATTCCTAATTTCTGACAAAGTGTCAAAAACAAGAGTAGCGAACATCCTTTAGCCTTTGGGTCAGGTGAGCTAAATATCTGTGATCACGAATTTAATCCGAAATCACGAATTACAAAAAAAATGAGAACTAATTCAACAATTATACAATTCGTTTAAACGATTTAAATTCGTTATCACAAATCATAAAAAAATGTGATCACGAATTACAAAAACAGTTATAACGAATTCCACAAATTCGTTACCACGAATTTAATCTGTGATATCAAATTCTAATTATATTTTTGGTAGGTCCTAAATGGGCTTCCGTAATTTCATAATTAACTTTCCTTTTAAAAGGCTTGTATTCAGTTATAAAATGTATTTAATTTTGTTGAAAGAATGTCTTTCGACTTTAAATAATAAACTAAACAAAGAAGACAATTTTAAGATTCTTTCAGACGTTAAATTTCATATGCAAAATAGTTCACTATTGTTATCATAATCAGTACAAATGTCTATGTTATTGAAGAAAAATGAGGAAGTAATTACAATGCGATTTTGAAAACAGTAATAATAGAGAAAAATAATTAACTAGTATGAAATTTCTCATATCTGCTGACAAACAGGTTATAAAGCTGTTGTGTTTCAGTAAGATTTTTTTCTATAAACTAAAATCGGAATTTCTTCCAAATTATCCATGATTTTTTTTTTAACTTACATAAAATAATGTATTCCAACGGTATAATCATGTATAGAGATATCGCCGTATGAACTGTTATCCGTCTGCCAGTAAGATTCGTGCTGAAAAGGTGTTCTTTAAGCGATTGATAATGCATATAATAAGCTGCGACGTTGGATCTGATCGTCACGCTAAAAACATGTGACTGCTATGCTGTAAGACATAATTAGAGCCCTTGTGTATTTATTGAAGGGGATACCCAACCACTTTGACTAACATATTTTGGCTAGTTTAATATTCATAAAAATGTTCACAAAATATTTACTTAAACCTGTTGATAAAAATTACAGGAATAATTTTATTGGATATAAAGCAGTTTGACAAACACTAATTTTGATCATTAAGAAGCTTGGTTTCTCTTTACTAATAGTATATGAATAAAACTTTAGCTGATTTAAAGAGTTAACTCCCTTTGATCTTCTGTAACCCCTTAATATCATATGTTTTGTCTCATTCAAAAATTCATTGCGTATTAAGCAAACCACAATGAATCGATCATTCGATTGAAAAATTAAAATCCTTTTCCCTAATCAGCAAGAGTGCCGGCATTTTAAATAAATGAAAACAGTGAAAATATAAACATTACAAAACAAACAATTATAGAATTGAATTCATAACAGTGTAGACGAGACCATTCGTTGGCGCGCTCAATTTTCCAATTGACTGGATCAGATCAGGTAACAGTTTGTCTGCTACGCCTACTTAATAATTGTTTTACAAGGGACATTTAAACGTACGGGGTCACCGAAGGTTACTTAACGCCTGAAAACAAGTAACTCGAAAAAAAACTACAGGCGTATTGATTAACATTGAATATTTTGACATTCTTCAACGACAATCGATAGCCAAATTATTTGTCATACCGCACGTTCTTTAAACATTAAAATAAAATTTTACTAGCTTCAAAAGTAGTAATGAATGTTTATATATAAGCAATAACCTCCGGCCGTCGGGATGATCTTACGCTGACACATCGCGTCCTCATGAGATAACTATTACTTATCGATAGCCGATGGCAAACAAGTTCAAGGTTAATG